TGGCGTAGTTTTGACGTATTCACATCTGGTTCGACGACGGATGACGGCGGCAGCACATCTGGTGGACGGATGGAAGAAGGAATGAAAGAAAGGAACTACGAGAACAGCCATCATTGATGATACTGTGAAATATTATGAATGGGTAGGAAAATTAGAGAGGCGATAATGAGGTAGTCAAAATGATGACTGAAGGATGACGAGAAAAACAAAGCGCACGACAACGCCGCAGTGGTAAGAGCAATACTATGGGAAACTGTAAGAGAAAAGCCCCGATAGCCGGATATCAATGAGCTAAAGGGATCAGTGAAATGAAGTGAACATGCGGTGGGGATGAAATGAAAAAAATCAACATGACGGAAAGGGTCCGAAAAAGAAGACAACAATGAAACGAAAGAACATCGACCAGCAATGCGGAAAGTTTGTAAACTATCCGGCAATTTGCTAATGAACTCGTCATTGATGAGCAAAGATCGCTAAAATTGGCCATTACTTCCTAAAAACCAAATATTCGCCGAAATCGAATAGTTCGATTTTTCGAAGATGAATAGCTACAAGACAATGAAGAAGGAACAGGAATTTCGTATACGGAACATATATATTTATAGTTTTTCCCGTAACATATAGAACAATGTAACTACAGAAGTTGTAGCTAAAGTTTTAAAAGCTTAAGCTTCTAGGCTCTAAACATCTAATTAAAATACAAGTATTTTACATTGGAGCGCGTGTGGCGCAGTGGTCAAAGACACCCAGCAATACACATGACGATCCCTGCGGCCCTGGCTCACCTAGCACTCCATTCCTCCAGGATCGGTAAATTGGTACCAGACTTATCTGGGAGGCCAGCAGCACCGACTCGATACATTGGTAGGCCATTGCGAGTAATTGTAAAGGCCAGATATAATATTCAATCACTTCCAACGATGCTTAATGAAGTAGAATGCATGACGCATCTTACAGCGACGAGAGGATTACCTTTATGCTTTATATTTTACATATGAGTGCCTAAATATCTAAAGGTCACAGAATAAATCATTGTTTAAATTATCCTAGTTATTTTTATGCTTTCTTCCAATATATCTTTCAATAAGTGAAAATGTGTTTTTTTTCCAATGAACCATGGGCCTTCATTTTTAAAAAGATCACATAAAAACTTCGTAGTTGAGTCGAAGTCAACTAAAACCACCGAGATCTCTCCTCCGAACTTTGTTTCGATGCGCACATAATTTCAATAACTGGTAACAAGTTGTGAAGCTAGGAGAATAGGTAAAAATACCCAAATATGTGTTGCTGTAATAAATTATATGTTGGAATATTCAAGAAGCTTTCGTCAAAAGAAGTAATAAACCGCGTGAAATCGTTTACCTTCCCCTGAATAAAGAAACGGCTGCTTCGAGGATACAGCGAGAGTCTTGGTTTTCCAAAATGTAGAGTCTATGGAGCCGCTATTCTGCTAACACTATAATCCTTGATGGAAAACTTCGGTCTAGACCATTTCATGTTACCTCTTTCACCTGGCGGTCGATAACTGTAGCCGTTCATTGACATAAGTCATAGGAATCTCCTGTGTAAAGTACAAGACTGACTTTACAAATCTCCAGCAACACTACTCAAGTCGTCGGCAATTCAGAGAATGATCCTAGAACGATCTCTGATTGATTCGTGCATGATGCTTTGGTTGGGTTATTTTTCCTCAGAAATGCGTTGGTGATTATTTTTTTCCTCGCCAGTGATTTGTGTCCTCTTGGCTGCTTTTGCTTTACAACCTTTCGATGTCTAGTTGCTTTCGTTGTGTGGGCAATATTGACCTCTTGTGCTCTTCCATAAATCACATCCGATCCTTCTTGTGCCGCTACGCTGGCTATGAGTCAGTCAACTGGCCCGTCCCAACGAAGAAAGTCCTCCCAAATGGGCGTGGTCACGTGAAGTTTACACCTCACACAACGAGAGGTATTAGCTAACAAGTCATCTTCGCTGACCGTTGTGATGCTTCTCTTTGGTTTTTTTTCTAGGAAAAACATCCGATGTCTGTACAAAACTGAACTAAAATTAACCTATTAGCCGAGGAAACATTTTGGTTCCATTTATTTGCGAAATAATAACGGAAATTGCTTGAAAATGGAGAGTCGGAGCTGCGACGGAAAAAAATTTCCACTATTCAACAATATGGCCCAAAATTTCTTTTTAATCTTAATCAAGTGGATTCGAGTGACATATTTTGCTACTGAACAGCATCATTAAAAAAGTGGTTAAGATCCAACGTGTAGTTGGCGTGGGCGTATTAAAGTATTACTTTAATATTTTTATGAAATCCATCTTTTGTAAAGTGGCTCAAAAAAATTTATTCCGTAATGTTTGAAATAAGTAGAAACGTTGAACGTTTTCAGAAAAGAATTCTTTGTATCTCTCTAGTGGTTTTCTTTTCTATCGTTTTTCAATTGGATGCGTTTAATTCACTATTCTGCCATGGACCGATTTTTTTCCTTACTTCTTAGAACAACTCTGCTTAGCAAACTTTTCTCTCGGAACCTCTTGGAGAAGTAAGTTTCGTATTCTTGAGCAAACATGAGCTTGTTAATGTAAAAAGTTACTCAATACTGGCTGACGTTCCGGTGGTTTCGTTTTCTTCAGAGCTTGGATAGGTTAATTTCACGCGCAACCTGCTCAGTTGAATTTTTTATAGCCTAGCAGCAAAAACCTGGCAGATAATTTCCAATAGGTTCTTGGATTACTACGCTAACGCTAGGTTGATAAAAAAGGGTTTTGAAGGTTTTAACACAATTTTCACTCACATGGAAAACAGTTTTTTTTAAAAGCTCACTGTTTTTCCTTCATAAGTCTTCCTTGCATTGTTGGAGAGTAGGTGGGAAGAGTTTTACATGGGTGAAGAACTTCTTGGAAAGGTCTATGAAATCTCTGAAAAGTTCCTAGTAACAAGGAGTTCGCTCTCTCTTCAGAGATTTTTATACAATCTACTAGAGAATAATTTTGAAAAAGAAATAAAAAAGGAGCAAATGGGCAAAAAGTTCGATTAGATTTGTGATTTTGAGTGGCTGTGATCCTTTCATAAGGTTTAAAGCACATTGTGTCTATTTCGTTACGACTAAATAATATCTGCTCATTTAAAGCTAGTGAATACCACTGAATCTTATAGTAATGGCCGAGTCACATAGCTGTATGTACCCGAGATCGTGGGTGACGTTTATTAAATAGGTATCGATCGCTGAAGCGACGTCTACTAAGTGGATATCGATTGACAAAGCGCAGAAACAGAATGACGCGATTATACTACTCAGCTCTATTGAACGGTTTTTTCTCAGCATCGTACAGAATATGAGAAAGATTTTATAGATTCTGGAAGAGAAACCGGTAACAATAAAAAGGACTGGATGTTGTGAAAGTAAGTGTTTTTTGTCGACTAGGGTTATCTGCAACCACAGGGAATTGTCGGGCAATACATTCATTGCATTGTGCGAGCACTATCAAAGTGCTTTCTTATCGACATGACCTTAGTGATTTTTTCTGGCGGCAGTAGTGGAAATAGTGGACAGTGAGCCGTTACGCTATAAGGAAGACATTTCACTTCATTTTTTGGATATTTTTCACGTTAAACCGCTAATTGATTAGTTTTTTTGAAGACCTTCAATCTCAAAAAGTATATAACCTTTCCTGTGAGAAAAGTTCTGACAGTGGATTTGAACTCTCTTCCAAATTCTTGTATTTCATATCGAATTTGTATGCTTACGATTTTTCATAATTTTTTATTAAACTGGCTTCAGTTGTTTTTTGTAGTGTGATGTCCTTTCACACACCTTTCACAGATTGCTATCATTCCTTCCCAACATAATGACTATCGGAATGCATCACCCAGAACGCTTTCAACCAAGAAATTGCACTAGAAATTGATAATGTCCTTGTCCCTGGAGAAAAAAAGCAACGTGAGTATTCGTAGGTGATTTCCCAGTTTAAGTCTCGATACTTGGCATATTCATCTTGACGTGGAATTATGCTTCCCCAGCGCGTATTCTCTTCAAGGGAGATTTTGCTGACTACGCAGAATTTTGTTTCTCTAGTTTTCCTAGATAGCCGTATCATGGTGATCCCAGCTCGTTCCACACGCAGCTTTCAACCTATCTGGCTTCGATAAAGGAGGAAGTGTAATGATTTGTGTAAGCAGGTTTCGTGCAGTACGATCCTTTCTTTTCTACCAACGATATACTAATAAATAGGTTTCAAGCAGAATATTTCAAAGGTACTTTAGCTTAGCTTACCATAACGGAGACTGAATAGCTTTCGTAGAATGGAGTGTAAAATTCGGGGTGATTTCTTTGCCGTGGAGAGTAAATCATTGCGATGGTACCATCTAAGTTGAACTGACAAATCAAATCTAGGAACATTAGGAGAACTGCCTCGTGGTGTAAAGAGGAGCACTTTCAATGAGCTTTTTTCACATACAGTAATTTAATCTTTTCGCATTTGTTCATTTTAGTGAAATTGTGAGAGATCTTAACGACCTATAATAAACTCTAGCTGTGTCTTGTATTCCTAGTTGGTTGTAAACTACTCCTCAAAAAATGACTCATAGCTACTTGATCGGAAATGAGCTGGTAACGATAGAGAAAGGAAGAGAAGTTTTTGTGATCGAGGATTATGCGGAAAAATCATCAGGTAATAATTCCACAGTAAAATTCCTTAGTTTTTCCTTCATTTTCTAAGGGACAACAATGCAAAAAAATCCTGATTGCCTACTATCTGACGAAAGTCTGTGGAAATTTGACTAATTGTCATCGTTGGTCGTCCCGACTCGGTAAACACACAGCCCATACCGTGTTCCACATCTTCGAGTGGGCGGTGCTTCGCATTATATATGTTCCGTGTATTCGCCTTTGGCATCCGTCCAAATCGTCCAGAGTTCTTCGAATAACGTCGAATATTCGTCGTACATTTCAGGGTTTACAAAATGAAGACGCTACTGATATCAGTGGCGATCTTCCATGCGCTGGATGCATTCTCGTTGCCATTCTTCTCAACAAAGGTCGGTCTGATCACAAGAAAATATTTTTAAAAAACGTTCGCTTGCAGCTTTGTCTTTTTTAAATACTTAACATATTCTAGCCTGATGTACCGTATTTGCATCCACTATCACCACTGGAAACGAACCCTGCTTCATCTAGAGCGAAACGACAAGCATATCAGGTAGACGGGAGGCGGCTTTTCTAAGTGAAACAAACTAGTTGATAAAATTGTCACAGCGAAAATATAAAAGAATGTTTAAATATTTTACTTGTATTTTAAACTATCCGTTTTCCTTAAAAGTGCCTAGTGCTACTAGGTAATATCAACCATTTTGGCAAAGTTTTCAGTAACAAGCATCCAAGAAATCGAAGGAAAGGATAGATTGATGTCCGTAGATGGTAATATAATGAGAAACCGTAATTTCCCGTAATAAAGTACTGTCATGCTAATGACATAGTCAATATATTACTGAAGCGATTATATTCAAAATGATTTCAACCACCTTGAAAGGAAAGAAATTCCTTCGATTAAAATTTTTGCTCGCAACTTTAATGAGCACAGAATGCACAGTAATTTCCACCGTTACTCAGTGTTCGCGGCTTACACACCGTTCCATTTTGGGGTCATTGTTTCACCTGGATTTAATTTGAGGTGTACGTCGACGGTGATTCGTCTGTAACTCTCGACAAAACTGGCCAAGCAGAAAACGGACCATGGGGACCATGGGTTCCTGGCGAATGTTCACGAACATGCGGCGGTGGTGTTCAGACTGAAAAAAGACAATGCAGGTAATTTTATATCGATTTATCGATTCTGACAAAAATTGCTGGTACCAAACTTGTTAATTACTGGCTTTTGTGAAACCAAAACGAGAATAAAATAAGATATACACTGATTATCAGTACTAAGTGTAAATAAATTTGCAATTACGCAAGTGTTCGTGGTTTCTTTAATTTTCATTGGTATGATAGCTAACAATCTTGGAAACATTTAAAATGTTCTCTTTCCTTCATTGAAGGTAAACCTTTGTGCGCCTTAAAGGTGATAAGATCTTTGGCAAGGCTTTCCCTATATTTCCCGTTCCTTTATCCTTTCCCTATACTCGACTCTCTTGAAAGGGAAGAAATGATCATTACAATAACTTCTTCAATAACTTTACTGTGTTAATTTGGTCTCGTATTAACTCTTTCTCTAGTGAAGAATTTCGCAATATGAAAGAAGATCGATCGACGGCAATGATATTTTGTTTATATAAGTTTTAGATAGTTTATCTAAGCATAATAAACCCAACGGCCACCCATCTTTTCTGGGACCAATGAGCTCCACTAGTCGAAGACTCGTTCTATGACGGCTTTCGTGAAGGTCTTCAGACCTTATGGAAACTTTGAATGGGAAGAATTGTGAAAACTGAATTTAGCGTTTCCACAAATTTGTTTCTGTAGCATGTCAATCGCCAATAGATGAGAGCTAATGAAAAATATAGAATCGTAGAGATACGAGACTGTCAACACTAAAGCGTGTCCACAAAGAAAACTTTATTAGCACCGGGTTTAAATGTGCAGCTATTCTGTAATAGCTCGATAATGGAATCTCTTCATGAAGCATCTTTTAAGTGATTTCTTGTTTATAGAAAATTTTCCATGAAAAATACGAGCACATCTCGGTGTTCAGGAATAAACTCTAAGTCCAGTAAAAAATGCGAGAAAAGAAACGAAAAAGAAATGCAAGGATGAAAGCTGAAAGAAAATTCTCAGAGATGGGTCGTGTCTTTCTAGCAATGAAAGTCGTCAATTTTTAAAACGAGTAAAAGTAGCTCGAGCTGCTCCTCGATAGTCTACGACATGATCGACGTCTTCGGTATTTAATTAGACGTCGGGAACCCTTTCGACTACGTCGAGATGATCGCTAACGACGGCTACGCGGTCGCCGTGAACGTCGAGCCAACGATCGCGAAAGGCTGCGACAGCTTCGACTGCTTCGACTTCCGCTGCGGCTCTGACTCCGACTTGTTGAACGTGCATGTTAGTAGTTGCTCACGGGGATTATTCACGAGCATGGTGTTACCTAAATTCTGCTCCGGGCCAGCCAAGCCTCTCATTCTTTCGGGGTCGATAAATTGGTACCGGACTTATCTGGGACAAAAACCACTCTCTGCAATCTAATTGGGAACGCTCGGGCCCGGCTATCTCAGGACTCCAGAGAGAAGTGCTCGACCGCCATTCTACAACATTTAAGATGAAATGGAAATCCTCAGGAAAAAAAAGGCAAAACGAAGCCACACCTATAGTTGGAAGAACTTCGTAGACAATGGATGCAAGGAAACGAATCGAATGAGAGAAGTGCTGGGATCCGCACAGTAGACATGAAGACGGATCAAATAAAATAAAAAAAATATCAGTATCAATTAGGAAAAAATTGAGCTTAGCCAGAAAACATTTGGTATGTGAAGCAGTCGAAACATATCGCTGATTGGTATGGTTTTATCTATGGGAAAGAAAAAAGCTGGAATTAATCGATTAGCACAAAACTTCAATGCACTGTCATCTGTTCACTTCATGAGAAGAGTTTTTATATTATTACTAAGCAGGATGACGTCATTTTCTATCATCAGTTGTGTCGGTAGTGTAGAAAGTTTTCAATTTTGATAGCCACTTTTCTTTTCTCATCAACAGATTGTTACATAAAATTGCTGTCTGAATAGACTGACGGAAAGGAAAAATCCGTGAATCAGATCGCATTTATATGCCAGGAGACGTTGACGTTTTCCTGCTTGTTTTACAAATAAATGTTTGGAATACTGTGCACTCATAATGATGCTGAGATGTCTGCAAAACTCTGCACCACTGGTGTCTGCGATGGGGACCGAACACGCTATTTCCGTTTCCGGCGGCTAACGCGTTCACCACCACACCATGCGAGTCCTTCTATTTGCATTTCACTCATCTCATGCTCTATTATTAACCTAAGCAATCGCCGGTCAACAGGATTGATCTGGGGAACACAAATTGGCATTGAACCCAGTTAAGCTGAAGTTTTGGTATAAATCACAGTGTCGTCAATTTTTATGTCTCACATAGTACCTTGCCATTAAAAAATAGGCAGTAAATAGAAATTGACGACGCTTCCACTCCGATCCATTACTACCACTTGACGATGTTCGAAACGTAAACGATAACGACAGTGTTTATGAGAAGCTTTTAATAGCGACAGTGAGCAACAACATATGCAGAATCACATATGTCGATAACCGCTGATGGCTTACGAGGAGTCCACCGCAACACGTCAGAAGTCTCATAACGGCTGTAAAGTTCTCATCAGAATAACAAGCTTTTTCGAGACAGTATAGCTCAGTGCAGTAGAGCGCTGATCACACACGCAAGATCCTTAGTTCAGTCGTCGTACAAGCAAATGAGAACAGTGTCTTTACCGAATATTTCATGCATTGTTGAGCAGCTTTTTGGAAAACGTAACGATGAAATCACTTTTTTAGCCTTCATATGTATTTTAGTGGTGATTGTGTTGGTCCATCAGTACGTTATGTTTCGTGCAATCTGGATCCTTGTTCCGAAGGAACCGATTTTCGTGCCGAACAATGCGCTGCCCACAACGACGACGCACTCGACGGCAAATACCACAAGTGGTTACCGTATAAAGGCAAGAACAAGTGGGGTTTTTTTCTTTTTTTATAGACACACAGAGATTTTAAAAAATTGATAAATTCGGTACAGTACAACAGCAGAAATGCTATCGATTACCTTAAGAAAATAATTTCACCTAGAGATTCTAAGACGTTTAAAATGAGGGTAATGGGTAATTGAGGTCAGATTGATTCCGGAATCAGATATCGTTTTGCATATGACTCTCAAATTACAAGCACATAACCACTTGACGATTACGTCAATGCCTTCCGATGTCTGGTGCACTTCTGGTGTCGATGTCTGGCGCAGAATACAGTGACCTCTAGAGATTAGATACGCTTCTTTTTAGTGTGTAAAACTTCTATAATACACGGTTACAATGACATTTGTGTTATTCATAATCGAAAATTCGAACGCAATAGTCAGGTATCGTAACAACTTGTTTTGTTCAAATTCCAGATGTGAGCTTTTGTGTAAGCCCGAGGGCGCTAAATTCTACTATAAATGGGACGAGAAAGTTGTCGACGGTACAAAATGTGACTCGATATCGGATGACATTTGTGTTGACGGCGTGTGCTTGCCAGTCGGATGCGATGGAAAACTGGGATCAGGTACGAGTCATAGCGAAACGGTAAGAATGAGATGAACAAGGGGGTCTCTAGAGTAATTCAATATCAGAGACGCCACTTACCATCATCAGAGGTCTACCGTTTTCGTGATTTTTGTAACCGTCTCCTACCAGTGACAATGAACCTTTAATTTTCATTCAATAATCGCCCAGTGAGATCAACTAAATTTTGCCAGTGAAAGAAGAAATACTTAACAAAAAAATCCGGAAGTCACGTATTCAGTGAGATTTTGTTGCAAGAAAGCCTTCACAATACAAAGTCTTTCATTCGATTTTTTCCTTTCATCCGGTGCTTTCACGTTTTCACAGTTATTTAACATTTTTAAGAAATCTGAGCACTCTATATAAAATCTTGCCGTCTTTTCAGTTCAAACTTTTCGATAGTAGGATTTCTCTCAAGCCGACCGTCATTTAACCTCGTCAATTCGATATGTTTATAATTCGTTGAGCGAGGTTGATAAATCTAGAAATCAAAAATCAAGTCAATCAATCAATGTAAATCAAGGAGGATTTTTAAAGGCGGTTTTTGGAAATAAGATATTGTTAAGCGCTTGTTACTATCCTGTTGTTATACTGAATCCATTGGGTGGTTTGGGAGGCCGTATTCTTAATAATCGGGCGCGTGTGGCGCAGTGGTCGGAGGCGCAGTGCAACGCACACATGTGATCGATCATTGCGCCCATGGCCCACCAAGCCTTCGTTCCCTCTGGGATCGGCAAATTGGTACCAGAGTTGTCTGGGAGGATAGCAGAACTGGCTCGATACATGGATAAGTCAGTGCGTGTAATTGCAAAGGCCAGATATGCATTTAGTCACCTCCAAGCGATGCTTAATGAAGTTGAATGCATGACGCATGCCTCAGGGATTGATTAACGCCGAGAGCTTTATCCTTTATCGTTGTATCCTTAATAATCGATTATTTTTCCAGAGTATTTGGTTTAGCAATATCTGAAAAACGGTGGCAAAAAAAGACATGCAATCAATTTAGCTTTAGCCACCATTTTTCTATGAAGCTATAAAATTTTTTGGAAGATTTTGCAATACGGTCCGTCCGTAAACTGCAACGTAAATTCTGTCCGGTTCTTTTTTGAAGAGTGAAGAAGTGGCAAAATAATCACTAGGAAAAAAAGTTTCTTAGCTATAATCCCTCAAACCGGCGTTTCTCTGATAATTCTTTCACCGTTCTAGTGGTAAATAAAATACAGATGAAAAGGCATTAGATGTCTACGCAAAAAAAGACAAGATGAAAAGCTGTGAAACTTTGCGATGAAGGATTTTCTGGACAGCAGGAGTCCTTTCAGTAGTGAACTTTTCATTGCAATGAGTGAATGAATGAGCGATTTTTAGCTCTGAAAGCAGACAAATGCGGTGTTTGTGATGGTGATGGATCGAAATGCAAAACTATTGAGGGGACTTTTGATGAGAGAAATCTCTCACCAGGTTACCATGACGTGCTGCGTATCCCGGCTGGTGCCACCGCTATCAGAGTCGAAGAAGCCCGTCCAAGCTCGAACAATCTTGGTTCGCACAGCTTTGTCGATTTTTTCATTATTACTTTATTCTATTGCCTGCTCATGACACTAAGAGAAAAGAATTTTACAGCGATATTTTTTACAGAAACTGCCAAAGGGTGCATGAAAGGCAAAAAGACTCCATAGGATGTTAATTTTTATGAGACATACAATGATTAGAGATGATTACTATTAGGAAGACTATGAAGCAAACCTAACTAAATCTGCAATAGTTAACCAGTTAACCAGTAACCGATAACCCGTTTTTTTTTTAAGGAAATTTTTTAAAAAAATTCATCGTTTCTATTTATTGATCGCAGCTCTGGATTCATTAGAATTGCCTTCATATGGATATTTTAGCTTTGAAAAACTCTACTGATCATTATTTTCTTAATGGGAATTCAATGATTCATGTCGAGAAAGATGTGGAGCTGAACGGCGTTCATTTCGAGTACGACGAATCAAAACCTGAAAAAATCACCGCCAAAGGACCATTGAAGCAGGTATGGTAACTTCTGTTTCTTGCCTTTGGTTGTTCAAAGCTTACTCGAACACGAAAAGTTAACAACTAGTGGTAAGGACAAGCGCATCAGTTAATTGTCTACAGCTGTCAGAAATCACCATTTGTCTTCCTTACTATCAGAGCAGCTTTACGGGCTCTGCTTGCTCAATCGTCAGGAGCACCTATATGGTCTCCTTAATAGGAATTCCAAAGTTTTTTTTAGCTCAAATAATCATGGCCTTTGTTTGAGCTAAGATGTTCTGGGAGTTGTATTTTGACACGAAGTAAGCAGTAAGCCCCACGGTCCTATTTAGGGCGGTGAGCAGCCGAATTTGGAGACAAATTTGCGTTTGCCGGTGATACACAATTGGAAAAGAGCTGATACTGCAATTGAAAACATAAAAATGTTCATAGAATATTTTTAGACTATTTTGTTTTCAAGATATTTCAATGTTCTTCATCGTCACCATTAGTGCTTGTGGTTCCTTCCTTTAGTCATAGAATGATATACAGTCGCCTAATATCGATGAATACCTTAAAGAAGCGTTAATTACTTGGATACTTGGATATCCTTTATTGCAAGTGCTGCAAGTTACTCCCAACTCCAAATGCTAATGGGTCCCTTATCTGACCCACGGCTCCTTTGAAGAGCCCAAGTGCTGCCCTCCTACTTTGTCTAATTCCTCCTTCACGCTATTCTCCATATTCACTGAACTTTCAAAATACACGTAGGAGGTGGCCTTTGTAATCAAAGAATAATACAGTTCAATTCGTTACCTTGGGACGGTGGGTTCTTCATGAGCTGGGTTTTCTTCTTACTTACGCTCAGTCCAGTTCTTTTACTCGATTCGTTGTGCTTATTGAGAATAGGTTCTACTTTACTGATACTCTTCAGAAAGATGCCGATGTTGTCAACGAAACAAAGCTTTCACATAAATTTGCCTTCAATGAACATGTCCTCTCGTCCACGTCGAGCATTTTTATTATCCAATGCACCAGGGATCATAAGCTCCTCATCCGCTTTAGCTGTGACTGGCAAGCTACCCAAGAGTGTACACTGCCACTAAGTTCAGAACTCACAAACTATACAGGGGTATCAAATGCTAAGCAGAATAAAATAAGTAGCTATCGCTCCATTGACATCAGAAGGGCCCCAGATACGGCCACGCTGGGTAGGAAAAGAATAGAGAGGGTGCTAAAATCTTAAAGCCATACTAAACTGTCTAAATCTCGAAGGAGTAAGGTGACGATCTGTACCTACAATAAGCGCTCACTCGCATTTGAGCCCTCGATAGAGGACTTGGTCGCACAGACCAGAAGGACCAGGCACGACGCCATCAGAGTGACTGAGACGAGAAGATACCACTCACTCAATGTTGTTTATGGTACCGGAAAGATTTACTTCTAGGCAAATGCAACAGTAGAGGAATCGGTGGGTAGCGTTTTGTTTTCAAAACGAGTTTGGCCTTGAACATCAATTCATTCAAACAATTAACAATGCGAATCGCACACTGACGGCTGTAAAGGTGTGGACCAATACCGACTTTGATAGTCTTCGTCGCTTCCGCGCCGACATGAAACTATGAGGAAGACGAAGTCAAAGTGTTCTATATGAACTTGAAGAAGTTCTACGGAGAAGACCATACATTCTTTGAGGTAATAATTGTAGAATCAACGCTAAGACAGGACGCAGAGGAACGTCCGAATAAAGCCACAATAGGGACCAAGAATTAGAACGGAACCAGCAGTGTGAACAGATGTCTGAGTTTATCATGACAACCAATACCATCCATGGCAACTGGCAATTCCAGAAGCCCCACCCTCAACGCTGCAGGTGGGACTCTCCCAATGAAGAGTATCATAACGAAATAGACCGCATCATAGTAAGCAAAAGGTTTTACCTAACCGATGCCGCTGTTGTCCCAAAATTCTACATGGGATCAGACCATCGCCTTCTTCGTGCAAGATTCTATTTCACGCGGAAAGGGGAAAATCCGCTAAATTCAAGAATCGAAGTACCAGAACCACCACAAACTGAGATTTATTCAGTTCATTAGTCGGCTGTTGGCAAGATGCCGTTTTCGATGAACGTCAACAATGAATACGGTCAGTTCTTTCAACATAAACACGTTAGTGCTATGAAAGCTGACAGTTTTAAAGTCACGAAACCCGAGCTGATAAGCCAGCGTGGAATCGCACAAGCTGCAGGCAACTGCGAACTAACGTCCGAACTTGTAAAACAGTGCAGACAGCTGATAAAAGAAGATCCTAAAGAGAGAAGAGCAGCAGTAATGGTCGAAGCTGCAGAGGCTGGGAGAAGCATTCGCAAAGCCCACCGAAGCTTTGCCAATTACAAGACCAAAATGATTGCTCTACGGCGCCCAGACAGAACAGTTACAGTGTCCAGAAAGGCAATGGAGAAAATCATTCACAAATACTACTCGGATCTCTTCGATAGCCATGTCCACCTTCCGTCATATGAAATAAAGGAGGATGGATATGCTGTACCACCGCTTCTCCCTTCCGAAATCCGACATGCCATTTGGTCGATGAAAAATCGAACACCACCAAGTCCGGACAGGATAAGACCAGAACATCTGACGAACCTTCCGCCAGTCCTCGCAAACAGACTGGTTCGGCTCTTCACACGTTACCTGTCTGAATGCAAGGCCTCTGTTCAGTGGAAGACCAGCATGACCATGTTATTGTTCAAGAAGGGTGACCTGCACGATATTGGCAACTATCGCCCAATCTGCTTTCTGTCTGTCGTCTACAAACTCTTCACTCGAGTAAACAGTATTGACAGAACACTAGACGAAGGGCAGCCATGTGAGCATGCAGGATTTCGAAAAGGATTTAGTACAATAGACCACATCCACACGGTAACAAGGCTCATTGAAGTATCGCGAGAGTACAAAAGACCGCTCTGTCTCACTTTCATCGATTTACAGAAGGCCTTTGATCAGTTGAGATAGAATCAGTCATGGAAGCTCTTGATAGTCAAGGAGTCCCTGCCCAGTACATAAAGATTCTTCGTGAGATGTTCAATAATTTCACAAGCAAGATATCACCATTGTTCAACGATATTGACATAATCGATGGTTGTCTGTCACACCATCTTCGTTTTGCTGATGAGATCGTTCTTATAACACCAAACATCAGCCAAGCGGAACGAATGCTTGCCGAGTTTGACGAAGTCTGTGAAAACATTGAGCCACAGCTAAATTTTACAAAAAAAACGTTTATGAGGAATGGAGTGGTTGCGTGTGGTCGATTGAGGCTCAACGGTGCGAATGTCTGTAAATGCCCACTTACGTCTCTCCAGGTCGAGAAATCAACATGGTGAACGACTTAGATTCAGAGTTGAGCAGAAGGAAAAGAGAGGCTTATGGAGCTTTTAAGAGCATCGAGGATCTAGTGAAGAGAACAAGCATCACCCGGCTCCGTGTACGTCTTCTCGTCTCCGTGATTCTTCCTGCCACAATACGTGCTTCCGAAACCTGGTCGCTGCGTAAGCAGGATGATAGGTTACTCAGTGTTATATAACGTGCAATCAAAAGGACGATGTTAGGGATACCCCATACCACGCAAGTGAAGAAACGGATTCGAAGCTCTGACCTACGTCAACGGTCAAAAATCGGAGACACTCTTCCATACGTCAAAATGTCAAAGATAATTTGAGCCGAACACGCAATGCGTGTGAACGACAACTATTGTATAACCCTTTATTGGATATATTCTTTGAGATGTCAGACGTACTGCAGGAAGACCATCGACGATGGTCGGAGTTTTTCACGAAAATCTTAGGCGGAAAGATATGATGGTCACCGGGTCCTCAGAGCGGGCAGTACCCGCTGGGCTATCCTTACACGCGGCTTAGAGAAATGGAAGGTTTACTGGCGCCTATCCGAGTCAACAGAGTGACAAGTGGAACATGTGAAAACTATTCCCATCTCGTCCCAGTCCAACGACTTTGTTATCCAGTGCAGCTGAAAACAGCTTTGGCGAGTTGATATGATGTTGTCAAACCCCTTTTCCTCTTGGAAAGGTGGTCATCTTCTAGGAAGTAAAAACCATAACCCTCTCAACTGACTCTCTCTCCCTCTCTCTCAACAAGGTTTGTGCTATGCCCAATACGATAATTTCGTAATGAGCTTGTCGGAGCGCACACAACAAGCACATCGGACTACGATAACCCTTTGTGGGTAGTATGACCGCGCGCAACGTCCTCCAGTGATTCGGACTTTTCTATTTCTAAAGGCAAAGTTTTATATGCGTTGTGAGAAGTACAAGTAATTAGTGGCCTTTAACTCTAAGGAATTCGGTGGCGGTATTATTGATTCCTAGAGGTCTGTCTGTCTTCATGCTTTCTACCACAACTCGAACTACATAGAGTAGAATCCCGGACGGCTTTTCTCTAGCGTCTTGTAACAGAGTATTATAGACTATAATATAATTTTTTTATTGCGTGCCTCCCTACTAATTTTTTCTTTTTTATGCAGATAGTTGATTTTATGGTACTAACTTTATATACTACTTTGTACTTTATGGTTAAATATGTTCTTCACTAATAATTTTGAACTGTCCATGCTTTTCTTTTCTTATGACAGTTGCTCATATGATAGTATGATAGTGATAGTATATGGTAGTTGCTCATCCGATTTCGTCGTGAGGGTCGAGTTGATTGTGTTTCACCGGAGATGAACGTGGATTTTTGCTATTAGTCCAAATCTATTGAAGATAGCCGCCTTGGACTGAAGGAGAGCGCTGAGGCAGGCGGGAATCGAGCAAGCGTCGTTGATTGCTGATCTTCGGCATTACTAACCACTAAGATATACCCGATAATTTGTTTGTTAGTAAAAAAAATTATCTCGAAGTTTTGAGAAACAAAGAAATTGGAAAACTCAACTCATTCACATTTTTGCCTGTTGGACTGAAAGCTAGCCACAGAATCCATGAATTAACCGTTATTAAAAACTCTCGTTCGGTATCTTTCGTTTGAGTAAAGATTGGTAAGATTGAAGTTCGGTTTTTTTGACTTAGCAAAATTTGCCCATAGAAAAGTCTTATAGCTTTTACAGCTTATACACAATGACTTTAAGAAGTTACAATCACAAATCTTAGCAATTGTTTCTCTTTGCCTAACAGAGAAGGCAGGATGACGAAAAGGGATGGCATACGATAATACTATAATATTAAGCACGAGCGCATTATTCTAGAAGTATGGCTGAAATATTATAAATATTTAACTAAGCAATAATATGAATACAGTAATAATATGATACAAACATTTAACTCAGTCACAATGACACAATTACTTTAGGAAGTTATCGTGGCAGTGTTGTTCCGTAAAGGAAATCGTGACGCAGCTATCAAGTACGAGTTTTCCGTGCCAGTCATCGAGGATCTTGACTATATTTACAAGCCCGGAGAATGGTCAGCGTGTTCTGTCACTTGTGGAAAAGGTCTGCTTTATATGGATAAAGTAATCTGAAAAATGTGGACAAGAAAGAAGAAAATGAGCTTTAATATTCGCTCCGATTTGCAACAGTTACCTGTATTTTTTCCATTTATGTTTAACTGAAACACGATTTCTGGTGAAAGGAGACTCAGAAATAAAAAAGATACTTTTACATATCGCATCTTATCTGCTTGGTTCATGAATGTGTTTGACTGAGTAGATTGCGGGCTAATTCGACCCTTACAGAGTCTGAAGAATGCCGAAACCCTGAAAACTTGGCTATTGTAAATAAGTAATAGTTTAAGAATCTGGTGCTCGCTTATTAAGCAAGCAATCTTAAAAAATATATGTTTTCTATCAAAAATGGCTTCCATTCCTGGAAAATTAACCCCATTTTTACTTAGCATTCAAATACAATGCCCCTGAAAATTGACCAGACCATTTTAGGTGTGCAAACTCGTACTCCATACTGCATCGATACGAAAACCGAAGCCCGAGTGAACGACCAACTGTGCGACGACGCCAATTCAACGAAACCCGAGGTCAGCCAAATTTTCAAAGAACGAATTCTGCCTTATCTATGAATTCAACGTGAATGACTACTAATAATTTGTTCGCATCTTGAAGGACTTATAAAAGTCGTCCAATATTCGGAAAGTGCGTTTATATTACATTTTTTAAGGGTCAAGGGTCAGAAACTTTCTAATTATTTCAAATAGTCGTCACATTTCTTTGGAGTACATACGTACTATTTAACGGTTATTGTCCTACTCTTACGTAGTAGTGCCAGTAGCTCCGTTATTGAAGGTAGACTCTCGCGTATATGGTTCTTGTTGCTTCGATCATTCTTCATGCTTATGAAGTTGGCAAATTGATAGCAGGCTGGTATAAGGGGATAGAAACTGTGACTTAACAAATCGATAGGCACCAACAAGTCATTGTATAAGCTAAACATGCTTTCAACAAGTTATGCCACGCTACTCATAGAATCGAATGCTTGATGCATCCATCTGGGAATGAGTAACTCCAAGTCCTTTATCCTTTATTCTACTGTTTAATTTACAGGTTCAATTCTTGGGAAATCTCGATGAATATCCTTTCAGAAATTCTAGTGTACGTTCATTAACCAAGGTTTTATAGATCTCGAATCTCGATTGTGCTAAACAAAGAACAAGGATCAACTAAAGGATCTTATTAGGATTATCCCTATCGGTTTATTAAGTGGTGCAAGTTAAAAATCGATAACAAATCATCTACGTAGTCATTTCTTTGTAACACAAAGACGCCGAGATGATTCTTCTTCAAAGACGAGATAAGCTGCAAACACAATTTCTATCTGACTGGCATTTCCTGGTTGGCCACGTTTGTTCTTCTGAAATTCCAAAAAAAGCTCCAGTTAGAGCTAGAGTTTTCCTAGATTGTTACTACAGTCGATCATTTTCTTTGTGAACTGGATTTTTGCTACCTGACGATTTTGTATTCTTTATAACGATGGATATTATTGGAATAGATTTCTCTCATAGCTATGTATCCAAATGAATGTATCCAACCATTTATCAGCTTGGGAGGTCTTTCTGAGATAATAAGCTCTCATTGCTCATCACGGTTCGCCATTCAACGAGCTCAACTACGATGGGGCGGTAAGGACCTGATGGAGATATGTGTCGTTTTTTTTATCTTATTACATAACCTAACATCACATAGGCAACACTGTGTGGACACTAGCATTTCTTAAATTCGATTCGTTTTCTCGAATCAGCCATCTACGAAGATCTTCAGAATTTTGCGTGTGGGTTCGGTTGCTGTTTGAAGAAGTTTCGCCTTCGTCACAAATATGGCTGAGTATTTGTTGAATCGGTTCTTCCTTGGATCCTGAGATAGCCGTGCGTAGTGTTCCTACGTAGAGTAGAGGGAGTGAACCTGCCCCAAACAAGTCCCGTACCAAATATGCAGACCGCGGAGGAGTGAGAGACTTGGCAGGCCTGGAGCGGGCCGAACCAGAGCGTGAGCTAGTTGGATCGGTGACGTAATGAGTGAAATCACTACCAGTGCGTTACCCGCTTCCTCATTTTTGCTACGGACGAGAGAGCGCTTTGCGATAATTTTTTACATGATTGGTTATTCCTGCTGAGGTTTAATGAAGGTCGCTTTTAAAGACGTAGCATTGTGACATTTAAATATAATTCACCCATTTTTAGAGAAAACGAAACTTTTTTGTGAAAAACCAATTTTAGTTTGAGAAACCGTGTGAGACAGTGAACTGCGATGCCGAGTGGTTTGAAGGTGAATGGGAGCCGTGTTCACAAAGTTGTGGCGATCAGGGTGAACAGTATCGTGTCGTCTACTGTCATCAGGTACCATAGCAGAATTGGCTACGCTACGAAACTATTGCTACTGTTTTTCTTCCACCTTATTCATTGTAGCGATTTTTTTACTTTGTTTTGAATTTTTTTTTGCAACGTAGGTGTTTGCGAACGGTCGTCGTGTTACTGTTGATGATGGTAACTGTACTGCTGAACGACCACCTGTTCGGCAAGTGTGTAACAGGTGAAGTAAAACATTTTTTTATAAAGCCCTTTATTCTTGGTCATTAGGAAAAGTAAATCGCACGTCCCTCTAAATCATGTGAGCTCCAGCAAATTTTTTATTCAAACGGTGTTATGCTGATTAACGAAGCTTATTCTTTTTTGGAATCATAAGACACCTACGTCAAGCGTTATCAGATCATCACCACAACTGATGCCCCTTTGCGGATTGAAGTCTTGACCGTATCCGTCAAACGAGGTTAATTTCAGTGAACTCTAGTCTTCCGGCTATTCCTGCCATACGTTTACTCTTCACTCCGATTCCTTACGAAAATGTGGAGCTCTTTATCAGTGGAGGAAAATCTACGGGATTGATGAACCTTCGTTCTACATCATATCTCAACAGAAAATATCAATTTTGGAATAGAGCCTCTCATGAATGGAGAATTTTTAAAGTTAACTTGTGTTGGCTAGAGGTGATATGCCGATCAAAAGACAGCGCTATACTAATTTTGCAACAATGAGAAGCTGACAGGCCTTGAGAAAAGAAGGAGACCTTCGTAATTTGCCATGTAGTCCGATATAAAGATTACAAAGCGAAAAGAATTGTTTTTTAATGCGACATTATTACAGGAAATACTTACCTATTCGGAAACTTGTATGGCCCGTCCTCAGTGGTTGTGCAGGCCCCAATAAAATTTCCATTTTCCCGGAGTTTTGCTGGTTTAGCTATTGTGGTCCCTGGAACCCGAGGTCAGCGTAGCCAAGGTTTGTTTCAGTCATTACCACCATAGACACTCGCTTTCCTTGTAGACCAAAGGGAGGTTTGCCACCACAGGATTAGTTTGATACTAGGGCGATGGTGGAGTTTGGTATTGGTTTACGCTTGATTAGGCTTCTTGACGGAAACGCCGAAATCCTTCTCGGCTTGGTTTCTTAGCTTGGTAGGCCCTACCGCTAGGATCAATCTCTCAGCTGTACATCTCCGCAGCCCAACACCCAGGAACATCTTCTAGCCACGGTGAGGCGGTAAACTGTTGGGAGGATTATGGGAAATGTGAGTGAAATTTAGGAAATGGTAAATAAGAAGAAAGGGTCCACTGTTTCATCGCCCTTGTTCAATCAGGCAACTAATCGGAGAAAACGAAATATCGATAGAATCCTAACCTGTATATATCTCTCCGAGCCAACTCGGACGTCAGCTTCATGCATTGAACATCTTGGAGCGACCCAGGCCTCACTGTACTGGATCACAGAAGAACAAAGCGCAATAGGCGTTCTAAATATTAGCTGGAAGAAAGGACAAAACTTCATCAAACTACAATCCAACTCGTACAAAGCGCTACCTTCTGAATGAATAACGGTTTTCAAGCAATGTGTGAAGAATGGGGTTGCACGGCTAGTGTCGGAGCAATGTATTTAAGTAACAAAAACTAAGGCAGAAACGATAGAGAACATGTGACAGGAGAAGCTTGCAAAGTATATTCCAAAAAAATACTTTATGGTTCGATCCATGGAGAGTAGGTAACTACAAGTTTGCTATCGGAAACTATCAAAAGAATAAAACAGCAAGCGTTTAGCGTTGGTCAACACCTAAGAGGTGTGCTGTGCATTTTTCTCCATTTGCAGTAGCGTAGAATTGATTAGACGTCTACTTAGCCCATGCAGTACCTCTCGCGGCTTTCCGATGTATTAAATTAGTGTTTTAATCCTCAAGAACCAGTCTTGCATCAGTATTTCGAACCTGTGAGATAAAGCATTGGTTTGACGGAGAAAGAACTAGACCAACGCCAATGTCTGCTCCGCAGGATATCTCTAATCACGGTGCTACACAATGTCGTCAATGTCGTGGCGGATTTGATTGAGTGTACATATGTCACTCAGAACACGACGAACCTTTCCGATAATAATTCTTCACTTTAACATGTGATTCTTACGAGATTGATACGCGTTCTGTGAGTGACTGAGTGCTGCTGGCCATCTTGTTGTAACAATCAGTCGTCACTGTGTAAAGATTCACTGAATCATTAGCAATGAAGCAATAGAAAGCGTCGACAAGGTAAAAATTAGGGTGAAGCTTCTATCGGATCATAGAACCCAGTTAAAACCAAGAAGGCGAAATCCTGGAATATGACTTCACTTGTGACGAACAACCAAGAGGAAAGCTGGTAGAAATTCGCCGATGCTATGGACAGAATTCTTGTGTGGTGTCTTCCTCAAACCATGGATCGATTAGCCATAAATACTTTTTGGTTAAATTTACGGCTGCTGATAGGACGATTTGCTCATTTATATTCTACGACATTGCCCTCATCTACTTGAAAAAGTCAAGCGCGTGTGTGGCACAATGGTTGGAGGCGCCCACTGCGACGCAAACATGGAATCGATCCCCGCGCCCACGCCCCATCAAGTCTTTTATCCCTCCGGGGTCGGCAAATTGGTAGCAGACTTATCTGGAAGGATAGCAGCACGGCTCGATATATCGGTAGGCCACCGCGAGTCATTATAAAGGCCAGATATGCATTCAAAGCCCTGCAACGATAGTCAATGAAGTCGAATGCATGGTGCATCCCTCAGGGATTGACCAACGCCGAGAGCTTTATCCTTTATCCTTTATTTGAAAAAGTTAAGTACTTTTTTCCTTGTTCATAGTCATAAGGGTTTTTTTCTTTTTCGGAGCAACATTTTAACCCATTACGATACTTAACAGTAGCTGTAGTGTAGCAGCAACTATGTTTTATAAAAAATTAAGAATTAATTTTAACTAAGCAGTAGGACGACTTTCTCTGAGGCATTTGCACGAAGGCTGATAATGGTCCACCAAAAATTATTCTATTCGGAGCATCCTGGTTTCTAAAAAGCACCAACGATTTTAGATGAATCATTAAGAATTTTTGAAAACACGGTTCAATCTATTGCTACAGGATTTGATTACTTTCTATAACCAATCATAAGCCGACTACAAGTGTACCAATCTCTCATAAAAGAATTTTGCACAATGCCCAGAATTTGGGAATTTGAAATATTTTGTTTTACCCAGTATGTTTCGAAAAAAGAGTCATTTCTAGATTCGCCTGCCCTGAATGGCAAGCCGGGCCATGGTCGGCTTGCTCACAAAAGTGCGGAGACGCCTTTCAGTACCGTTCGATCACATGTCGTTCAGAAAAGGAAGGCGAGGAGGGTAAACTGCTGCCAGCTGAGGTGGATCTTGTCGTTTTTTTCCAATTTCGCGATCTTCAACAGCACCTAGAATCTTCATATACCTCTAATCAGGACGCGGTAGCGGTCACTGCACTTGTGCCGAAATATTTAATTTCATTTTTGTGCACTTCAGAAATGAAATCTGATCAGATCATGCAACACGACTCGAGAATTTTATTGAAAGTTTCAAGAACTAAAGCATTTTTGAAATCACTAGTAGGAGCTGGAGCGTTCAGCGCTTTAATTTTTATAAGCATTTCGTAGAAAGCCACGCGTGTGGCGCAGTGGTCGGAGGTGACTTGGAATACACACATAGGATCGATCCCTCCGTCGGTGGCTCATCAAGCCTTCCATACCTCCGGGGACGGAAAATTGATACAGGACTTGCCTGGGAGGATAGCGGCACTGACTGGATACATCGGTAGGCCGCCGCGAGTCAATGTAAAGACTAAATATGCATTCAATCACCCCCAACGATGCTCATTGAAATCGAAGGCATGGCGAATTCTTCATGGATTGATCACGCCGACAGCTCTATTTTTAATCCCCTTTCCGTAGAAATGGATAGAAGCAAAGGCTTTTTTTACAATGCTTTTAAAGAGTGAGAGTTAAATCTTTAGCGCCGATAGCAGTAGTTTCCTTTGTACAGAAACTGTCTAATAGTAAAAAATTGTACTTCTCTTTATCTTGCCGGTGAAAACAGATGGTTCAAGGCTACAAAAAGTGCTGTTACAATCAAAATCACAGTTGTTTTGTTTTATGGCATGGTTTTTCCTAACGTCAACGGATTTAAGCTCGGCTCTGAATTATAGGCTTGCGACGCAAACTCAACCTTGGAAGCTCAACGACAGTGCAACCTCGGACCATGCGAAGGCCTGAAATTCTTCACATCCGAATGGAATCTGGTTGGGTTTTTTTGTTTATCGTTTTTAGTATTTCTGGTGAACCTCTTCCAGTAAGTTGTAGAAGAAATGTTGTTTGCAACTAATATCCGAATTTCAGTGTTCAAAATGTAACGATACAGAAGAGACTCGTGAAGTGACATGTAAGGATAGTCACGGTCGCATCTATCCATTAGAGAAGTGTTTGACCGGCGATGAGAAGGAGATACCGTCTGACACAAGGTTCTTGTATCGTTCTTTAGTAATTCATTGCTTGTTAACGTAAGCTGCGTCATGAAATTTTCGAGTACCATCCTGAAGGATATCATCTGTATCACCGCTTCATCGTCAAAAACCAAAAACACACATCAAAAAACGATTTCTGCATTTTGTATATGATGGTCGAGACGACTAGAACCTATTGGCCCTTATTTCTTGTGTCTTTTAACCATGGAAAGTGTTACGATTGTATATTTGTGCATTAATAAGTATTAACACTGAAGGGACCGCATCAGAACCAAGTAGACGGGTTTCAATACATCATGTTGAATCCATGTAGAGAGTATGGTGACTATTCCTTACTGTTCAGGGCATGTGCTACTCAACAACCGTGCGTCTACGAATGGACAGCCAGTCAATGGTCAAAATGCTCCACTGAATGCGGTCATGGACACAAGACGAGACGGGTCGTATGCGCAATCCACGAGCAAGGCGACATTACAGTAGGCCCAGGGATTCATTTCTGAATCGCTTCAAAACGGCGTCGATTGTCTTACTGATTCGCTTGTGAAATGTGGACTACATGTCATCGATACGAATACTTGAACAGCAAGCCTAATTAATGTTGCGAGACTTTTGAGACATACTGCGAGTGTTGAAGAACAAACGAGAAAGTCAACACTTAAATTGCATTTTGGGACAAAGATGACACCACGAAAATCATGTTTTCTTTATTGAACCATTCACTTGCAATGCTCTGTTTACGTTAAAAATTTCCAAAATTGCCGGCAAATGTTGAATTGTACTTAGTACAGGTACGCCATAAAACTTAAGGTTGTCGATGAAGTGCTTTGTCAAGAAGAAAAACCCGAAGAGAAGATGAATTGCACTAATGAGGAGAAGTGTACGGGCATATGGTACACTGGACCGTGGTCTCCGTGCAGTGCTGAGTGAGTACTTACATATTAGTGATCAGAACAGATTTCCTCTAGCAGTCTTCAAAATTTAACGTATCATTTAACACAATGAATGTAGAGATTGTAGAGTACTTTAACTTTTAACGTCCCAATGGGGACAATCGATTAGTGGAAAGCGTCTTTTTGGCTTCCAACTGAATTCGTATATAAGATAGCGTTTCTAATGTTGATCGTCATCTTAATAAGTTTCTAGGGCCACCTACTAACTAAAATATGCATTTGTGAAATCTTTAGGGAAAATCATTCACTCCGAGATCTCCGGTTTTCTTTTCTAGCGACGATGTTTTTAGGCTCTAGTAGAACCTTCCCATACTCGTCACTCGTATTTTACTGCTTGCCGCTTAAAACTTTCTGCCTTTGAACGTCATAGGATTCCAGATTTCTGGAAGTTCTTTGATTTAGCTGGACAGTTGTTTATCCCCGAATAGCACAATCATCAAATCATCACTGGATCATTAATCTTCTGACAAAACGTAAATTGCAAATTCCTGCAAAGAACTGAAGACGAATTGCAGTCCTGCAGTGATTAATTACGATGACTCATTGACTAGTGTTCAATTCAGTAATTTTCTGAGCAGCTGCGTTGCGCTATGATTCACAGAATTTAATGGCCCCCTTCAACCAATCATTTTCAGAAATATTTCTTGCTTATACTTGCTCAGTGCTTACATGATGGGTGTGTGTAGCACAGTGACTACAGATCATCTGCAATGCATATGTGGTCATTAGTTCAGTCCTCTGCCAAGAGTAAATTAAGCCCTGCCTCTCCAAAGTCGGCAAATTGGTACAAGACGAAAAAAACTAACAATGTGCATCGTTAGTCCTCCATATGTTACTATGTATGTCACACATGTACGATAGAGTCGAAAGCATGGCGCATAATACGGATTAACCAACAACGAATTAAGTGATGAGCGGTAGTACAGGGTGGCTTTTTTTTGGAATCCCGATGTAGCGGTGTTGAAGCGTTTCCAGATCTTCACCATCTACAGTCGCCCATACTTGCGACCAAGAAATAGGTGTTACAACTTCGGATGTGGACTCTATAGCGACGGCTGAGCTTAGTCGACCTGTCGATAAGGAACACTGTGAGAACCCGAATCCAATACATATTTCATTTCATTTTACCACATAACACCTCCTAATGGTTTACCGCCTCATCGTGACTGGAAGGTGTTCTTGGGTGCTGGGCTGCGATTTACAGCTGGGATTCATCCTTTCGCAAGATCTCTCAAGTTAAGAAGGAGCCCGGCGTTTCTGTCACTAAAGCAATACCAGGATCCGTCACCGTCTTAGTATGAAACTAGTCGCATGATAGTAAATCTTCCCTGATCCACATGGGCGGCCGCTCCCTTTGGTGGTGACGATCTGGGGCAGACTATGGCCTGGTTGACCTCTGAACTCCAGGGAACCACAATGACTAAACCATCAAGACTCCGAAGAAATGGAGACTATGTTGGGCTCTTCACAACCATTGAGGACGTGCCATCCAAGTATCCACGTAAGTATTTCGTAACATGACTCGACATCGCATGAGTCACACTGTGCGAATTCCAACAATTCGCATTTAACCCGCCTCCTCGCGCCCGTCATCCATGAAGGGCGGTCTTAGAAATTCTTTTCCGACTGGTTCCATCCTCTAGTTGAAGATTTTTTTAACCTCGTAACGAATGGTGTTAAATGCTGGTCGAGTCGATTCTCTACAAAATACCGAGATAGCCGTGCTAAGGCATACTTGAGTGGATTGGCGCAATTCAGCTTGCGCCGTGCTACTCTGGTAGCAAGTTCCCAACGTCGGAGTGATCAGAGGCTTGGGTGGCTTGGAGTGATGTCGAACCAGGCCTGGTTGGGTTGGACGGTCTGCGTATTGAGTGGAATCACTACCACTGCGCTACTAGCTTCCTAACTTTTTAATGCAATATTTTGTTATAGTGTAATATTTTATTAAGAAATAATCCTTGAAAATAATACCAAGAAAAAACCTTCCGTGATGCATTTAAGGAAAAGGTCAAGTTAATTCCTTACAGTAAAGTTATTCAGCGGTCCCAACCTTGCATAAATTTGTTAACTTCGACATAGTTTCTTTATTCGTTATACGAAGATTTATTTACGTACACTTAAATAGAAACGTCAGTGATTCGATCTATAAAGCAAAACTCACTTCTGCCTAATCCTGGGCGGTTGCGAGTCTGCAACTCAAATTTAGTATTCCAGCTCATCTCAACATTTTTTCCCATCCAAATATTCGTCTTCAACTTTAGATGTGGAGGCGGAAATCAGGAACGAGTAGCTGTTTGTCTAAATTACGACAAAAAACCAGTTCCAGAGTGGTGCGACGAAGACGAAATGCCCGTACTGACCCAGGAGTGCAACACCGACGTCTGTCCCAGTGAGTTCAGAAGACATTCCCTCTTTGACAGGTCACCGAAGTGTGACCTATGTTACAAGGCTGTCTAAATACTGTATCCTCAATAAAATTCTTAAAAGGAAACAAAGATACGACGAATTATTGCATGTCCGAATTTGCAAAGACGAATTTATGACGATATTAATAAGTTGACCAACCAATTTGTTGGAATAATGGGATTTATTTATATTTGTAATAACTACAAGACAAAATTTAGCCTGCTTCGATTCCGAATTCGGTTGTTGCCCAGATAACACGACATTCCCTACTGGACCATTCAACCAGGTAGATGATTACAGTAGTAAGCTTCCGTATTTATTCCAGTTTCTTATTACAGTGACGAGTCAATATTACATGCTTATAAACAAAATACAAAATAGAACTAGCTGAGAGGCAGGCGGAACGAGGGACCCGGATGGTGTGGTGGTGAAGTGCGCTGCTCCCCGGTAAGGACAACAGCGCGCATTCGTTCCCCACCGCAGACACCTGCGGTTCGGAATTTTGCAAATATCTCAGCATCATTGTGGTTGTATGTCGCATTATACCCTGTCGTGAAAAATTATAGTAGGCAAGAAATGAGAAGTTAACATTAAAATACAAGAATCTAAACAAGACCGTACTATATTAGAGTGAGATTCCCTCGTTTGTGAAATAGTCCAAGCTGTCGTTACACGCGTGGGTGAGCTCTACATCGACACTTCTAGTCAATCAATAAGTATGAAAATCATATCACAGCAGTCCTGCTTCGCTATGGTTTAGGAAACCGTTTTCTGAAAGTTAAGTGTTTTAAGGGGTAATCCCTCGTCATTCACTTATTTTGACTGGATGTGTGAAATTTTAAAGTCTATAAAGATAAACAAATTTAAATAAGCGGAAGGGATTCACCTACTGCTTTATACCTTTATTTAAAAGCTGTAAAGCTAAATAATGTTCGACGAAATACCTTTTATTGCGAACGGTGACCGTACACCTACAGTATCATAAATGACATGCTATCCAGATGTTGTCTGATTCAGGGTTGTTCAAACTGCTCGTTGAGCGAGTTCGGTTGTTGTGCGGACAACTACACTGAGGCGGTTGGTAAGAATGGCAAAGGATGTGAGGAATTTGATGAATCGGCATTGAACCTGGAAGAAGCTGCTGGAGAAGAGGGCTCTGGTGAACACGATGGGGTATGCCAACGATCCTCTAGACAAGTTTCACCTGTCTTTTTTTGTAGAGTAACGCAACAAAAAACACTGCATTTGAAACTAAATCCTCTTAAAACGGGAAAAGAAACCCAATATTACGGCAAGAAGCTTTGCATTGGAGATGAGCAGTGAGAAAAGCTATAGGAAGGAGAAGTTAAGCAGTCAGTAGTCAGCCAGGTAGTTAGGAAAAAAGTTGTAAAAAGACAAAAAAGTTTTCTTTTTCCTAGGGATTTCCACCGTAGGATTCATTAGGATTATAACGAAAACCATGAAGTACAAGAAAGTGGCGACTGACTGGAATTACAAGCTTTACTAAACTTTTTATGCAGCAAAGTAATTAAGAATAACTATCGATTATTCTAGAAAAGCAGCGAATGCCAGGTGACCAATGAGAAGGGCGAGATGGCCACAATTGAATGCGCAGCATCCAATTCGACTGCGATCGATATGGATTTGTTCGGTATCGATTATGTTGATTATCCATGCTATGTTTATTGGTAAACTTCATGATCTCATAGAATTTCCATCTTCGTTCCTACTTTCAAACTGGATGAAGGCCAGGGTCTCTTTCCACGCACTAAAACAGCACGTGGTCGGGAGTCAAATGTACGATAGAACAGATGATAAAGAGCATGACGTATGAAGAAACTCTCCAAAGGAATTCGCGTCTTCAGCAGAATGTCATCCAATTTCGACTCCACATCAGCGCCAGTTTCAGATGTCCATATCAAAAGGAAACGTAAAGATCAACTGACTAGAAAAAACGAGGGTTTAAGTCTATTTCTGACGGCAACTAATAAGAATTTGAATCATTACGATGTTACCTTAAAGTCATTTGGTATCTTAAAGTTGATACCATCGGTTAAGGTTTAGCCTCCTAACCGTCATCTGTTGAATACGGAGAATAAGCGGTAATTCTTTACTCAGCACATAAAAGAATCAGAGCCATGCCAAGATTAGAATAGCTGATCTCCAGGAATCACAAGGAACAAAACAAGACCCTCCAAAAGTTTCTTTGAGTTGGTAACTTACTTGCTAAGGAAGGTCTTCTTTCTCTGGATGCTCAAGAAGCCGTGCTGAAAACTTTTTAGCAGGTCTTCATTACATTTGACATTGGTTTGTTTCTATCAAGATGGCAATGATTCATGGCACTGTTTTAATTTTATTTGGGCTTTCGGATGGAAATGACGAACTCCTTCTAACTTAGGCCACTCTGATAGATCAGCTCCTGGTTGAACATCACAAATGGAACATCCCGTTAACTACGATAAGACGACAAACTAACTGTTTCCTAAGAAAATTGGAAAGTTTCTCGTACTTCTAGAAGTAGTGGGAATTAGACTAAAATTTGCACTACGCTAGTGAAGTAAGAATGAGTTACTCATTTGTCTACCATCTTCCGAGCTTATCTTATCGCAAGCATAAAATAACTTTCCAAGTAGTTCCTTCTTGATAGATTTATTTCCATTCGTTAAGGAGCTTTCTATGATATAGCCATAAAAGGGTGTGAATATTATATATATATATTTTACTTACTTACCTGGATGGCCCGTCCTCACTGCGCAGGATCCAGCATAATCCCCATTTCTTCGGAGTTCTGCTGGTTTAGTCGCTGTGGTTCCTGGTGTCCCGAAGTCAGCCTTACCAAAGCCTACCCCAGGTCGTCACCACCACAGACAGTCCCCACCCTCGTGGATCAGCATGAGATTAGCCACCATGCGACCAGTTTGATACCAGAACGATGGTGGATCAGGGCACTCGCTTACTCTTTAGATGGGCTTCCTAATAGGAGCTCCAGACTCTTTCTCAGCTTGAAAGACTCTGCTAAGGAATGAATCCGCACTGTACATCGCAGCCCGACACCTAGCAACACCTCCCAGCCACGATGAGGCTGTAGACTTCTGCAGGGACTATATATATTTTACCTTAAGGTAATACGTAAAGTGTTCTAATGTAGACTGTCTACTTTTATTTAGGTAACGAGACTGACACGAATTCCACCAAGCACTGTTCGAAAACCGAATTTGGCTGTTGTCCTAATTGGGTCACTCCGGCTAATGGACCAAACAATGCTGGCTGTCCGATATTTGTACTGGGTTAGTTTTTAGACACTTCCATTTAAATTGAGTTCAAAAATAGATAAAATCCCATGTTGGAGGCAGTTAAGAATGTACCATAGAATTAAGGTACCATATGCTATATTTAAAAACATCAAACTCTTGTAATTAGACCAATACTTGTTCCTCTACGGATTTCGTTAAAAAACTTTCATGGCTGGAATAGATTCGTAGTCACCGTAGCGCAGTGATTTATGTTGCAAACTGTGTGTGTGAGAGTTGAAATCACAATGTTAATTTTTTATTTGCCACATCCTCAGCTTAACTTGACTCAATGCCGATTTGGGCTGTCCAGATCAATCCCGTTGACGGTGACTGGTGATGGCACTGATCAATAGATAACGACAGGCGAGACGAAGTACATGCATGGTGTGGTGGTGAACGCGTTAGCCCCCGGAAAGGGTAATAACGTGTTCGTTCCCCGCCGCAAACTCCTCCAGTCCGGAGTTTAGAAATATCTCTGCACCAGTGTGGTTGTATTTTGCATAATACCCTACTATAAAAATTGTAGCGGGCAGCAAATAAAAAGTTAAAACTGCGTGAGAACGTTTTCTCGTTGGAATCCTGTCCGTAGATCTAATTCGGTGCTGCCTGTCTCTTAAGCCGACCGCTTACTAAGATGAAAATGAAATTGTCTACCTATAGGATAATCCAAATTATGCAAAAATCATGAGAAGACGAATTTTTTGCGGCATCCCTTATTGTTGAGCTTTAGCCTTTATCATCAACGAGATTATCAATTTGAATTGCTCTCTTGTCGAAACAACTATAATATTATAAAAAAAGAATATCAAGTGCTGAGAGGATTTTTCCGTGTGGTTTTTTTCTTCTGGAGAAAAGGTCTTTTTAAAGGAGCATGTAACGAGACTGAATATGGCTGCTGTCACGACGATGTCACATTGGCTCGTGGTCCGAATCTCGAAGGTTGTGGGGAGCCTTCGTGTGCAGCTTCTCTTTACGGATGTTGTAAGGATCGCAAGACGATCGCCTTCGGACCTCATTATGCTGGATGTGACAGGTTTGCTGACCCTAGCAGTTGGAATTAAGAAGAACGAAAAACTAAGGAGCCGTCAGTGAGAACTAGCAAAAAATTGCAGAAATTCAATATCAGTTACTTCAAGAAGAAAGTTGACAGGTACTTTGGAACAGCTGGAATAAAGAAGAACAAAAACTAAAGAGTTGTTAAAATAAATGATATAAAAAGACCGTTCATATTGAATTTCGTTCCATGAATACTTGAATGATCGATCTTCCCGAAAAAATCGTGATATTTTTGGCCCAGTTTTCATTGATCCGGTATTTCGATACTTGCTTGACGTTCTTCCGAAGATTCTTGAAAAACCCCTGCCAGGGCAGTTCTAGATCCTCACAATCGTTAGATGCTGACCCTCGAAGATCAATGGGTAGCTCGTCAGCTTTCCACTAAGTGATTTCTGGGATATTGGTGATACCTGGCAATAATTTATGCTCTTGAAAATGATGATTTAAAAGGAACTCTCACAGATTAGGTGACTCTGTTGGAGATGGAAACTCGTTCTACTTGGCAGTTCAACGATTTAGCAAGTAGTAACTACCTATCACACGTTTAAATCGTGAATAGCCTTTTTCTGAACTGCAAAACGACCCATAAGAACGATAACTTAAGGAGAGCTAAAGGAAACAATTTTGAAACAAATCTGAAATGGGAGTTCCCCATATCATTGAAATGCAAGCAGCGCACGTATTTGTGAGCCTGTACGAAGCTGTCGCATCCAGATTTCAGGTCATCGTTCCCCTGCGAATTGTCGGAGTATGGATGCTGTGCTGACGGAGAGACGGCCGCTCTTGGCCCAAATGGAACCGGTTGCGGTGAGGACTGTTTGAAAACAAAGTATGTGTTAGCAAATTGTTGTCTATAGCGTAGTGGAGCGTTGGTAACTGATTGTCTTCCAGATATGGTTGTTGTCCTGACGGCAAAGGTATTGCTAAAGGACATCATAATGAAGGCTGTGGATGCGTATACGCTCAGTATGGATGTTGCCCAGATGGAAAGACAGCGGCCAAAGGTGCCGGCTTCTACGGTTGTCCAGAGAGTTGCGCACAAAGTGAGTTGTTCACAGTCTGCAGCACGTGATCTGCTTCAGGATGTGCTTGAGGCTTTCTTTATGAAGAATTTTATTTTTAATTTATTACAACACTTAAAATCAATGGTTATGACAGTAAGAAGATGTCAAACGTTTTTGTAGAAAGTGACAGTTTTCGATTTTCTTTCTATGTTCCATCGTTACCGTTATACTAATTAAGCTCTTTCTATGAAAAATTTCTTCGAGTAAAACCAAAGATAATAAAAGATGACCATCGTCATCTTTTATTTCCAGGATACTGTAATTTGGAGGACCTGAATTGTTTGATGTTTTTTTGAATATACGTCTTAATTGTTGGACTCCTTGAGAATTTCAGGATGCAATGTCGATCAATAATTACTTCCTTAATTCCTTCTAGGCCAGTTTGGATGTTGCCCGGATGGCAAGACAGCGGCTCGTGGATCACATAAAGAAGGTTGCCCATGCCAGTACACACGTTACGGATGTTGCCCAGACGGTGAAACAACGGCCCTTGGACCAAGGAACGACGGTTGTGATGACTGCAGATATGCTAAGTCAGTTATTATTGAGGACTGTAATAAGATGTCTTTCCAAAGCATTCAGTGTGTACTGAGTTTCTGGAATTGATGGCGGTGAATCGAAATATGAACCAACGGGTAGCCATTCTATTGTATCTATTTCCAATTGAATTAGTATTCATAGATAAAATACCTAAAATAGGCATGGCTGCTGTCCGGATGGCGAGACCAAGGCTATTGGTCCGAACTACGCTGGTTGTCCGTCCACCACATTGGCACCTTTCCTACTCGGTGGTACCGTTGCACCGTCGAAGATCATATCATGTGTGCTACCACAAGATCAGGGTACTGTGTGTGCGTCGGGATACAAACTGGTAAGCGAGAACCTCATGCATTACTATTTGCGATAATTTTCATTAGTCGAGAAAAGCTACATGTAGACCATAAGCATTGGTCTTTATCGCAGGGTTTGAATAATCTGAACTCTCCGCACCATTTCGTGTTTAGGTGTGGTACTACGACACTACTGAAGGTCGTTGTTCACAATTTTGGTACGGTGGTTGTGATGGTAACGAGAATCGCTTTGCCACTAAAGAACAATGCGAGACCATCTGCGTTGAACCACCAGGCATCGGTAAGAGACTTTATGGAGACTTTAGCTGTGCTTTCAGTAATTATTCATCGAAAGATTCGATCAATAAACTTTTTTATGGTGTAGAAATAGTAGACTAGCAGAAGTTTTTTCTTACACAACCCATCTTTCACATATACGGTGCGGATCCCAGTATTTCTGGCTCTCGATTCGTTCTTCGCATCCATCTTCCACGAAGTTCTCCCAACATTTTACTTGTGGCTTCAGCTACTGCTTTGAGAGTGTTTTTTTAACTATGAATCTCGACGAATACTCGTCGAATCAATTCTCCCTGTAATCCCCAGATAGGTAGGTTAGAGAGTTCCCACTTGGATTTCGGAGAACAAACCTTTCCCAGGTATGTCCGATACTAATTTCCTGATCTGAAGGAATGAGGGGCTTGGTGAGCTTGAAGTGGGACCGAACCATCACAGTGCTCGCGATGACCGGCATGAGTATCACAGTGCTATCCGCCTCTTACTACACTAGTTACGTTGCAAAATATAGAAAGTCCGGCTTCATTTTATGGCAAACTTCTGGAATCCCAACGAATAATTTTAGGACGATGCTATCTGCCTAAAGTTGAAGGTCCTTTGAGATGCGATTTACCACAAGCGAAATACTGGTACGACTACAACACGAAGCAGTGCGCTGCATTCTGGTGGCGAGGATGTCACGGTAACGCAAATAACTTTGGTTCATGGGAGGAGTGCAGTGTAAGTAATTTTTATTTCTCTTCATTTGTGACACGTAATTTTTTTTCGAATAAAAAGAGTTCTGAGTGACATAAGGATAAGGTTCATGGAGTTTATCCATCCTTGATGAGTTGGCGTGCATTCGACTTCACGAAGCATCGTTAGAGGTGGTGGAATGCATACCTGGCTTTCACTCTGGCTCGTGGTGGCTTGCCTATGTATCGAGCCAGTGCCGCTGTCCTCCCAGACAAGTCTGCTACCAATCTGCCGGCCGCGGAGGCATGGAGGACTTAGTGGGCCCGAGGCGTAGGAGTCGATCCAATGTGTATTACAGGGCGCCTACGAACACTGCGTAACCAGCACCCTCAAGCTAAATGACATAATCCCTGTAAATCAACCATTCTTTTATCAGCGCTTGAAATTCTCAAGGCTCAAAAGTCGTGAAATGAAGTTGTAAAGATCAAAAAAGTAGGCAACTTCATTAAAATCTAAGGAATTTAACTGCTTGTCTTAGCACCTGATTGTTTATAAACGATGAAGTTCAGACTTTCTGCAAAGATGTTGGACCGCTTGTGATTCCTACGACACCAGCACCGACACCGCCAGCAAACGAACCGTTCCCATATAGTGAACCGTCGGAACACGAGGTGCGTTTAGCGCTGTTGATTTGGGCTAAAATTTGGAGTTCCGTCAAGGCTTCTCGAGTGTAGAAGATAAACAATGAAGACCTGCCTTTGCTAGTTAAGGAAGAGGTGGCATCATTTTGAGGGTAACACCCTTTCCAATAAAATGTTCGAATAGATCAGTTTTCGATCGATTTTCGATCGAACGTCATTTGTGATTTGGTGACTTTTTATTGACATGGTTGTATGTAAATTATAACGGTCTCCTCAGTGAAGTTCGAAGATTGCTGAGTTTCCAGGTCGTCGCTCACCCACTCGTTGATGAAGTAGCAGCCCCACGAGCCGACGAAAGAGCACGTCCTCCAATCCGTGAGTTATATGAGTATTTTCAACGCAAGAGGTATTACTACGACGCCGACAATTTATGTGACTATGAGAACTATACACGACCAAGAAGCAACAGGCTCAAATATTGCTTAGCGATTTTGGCGCGATTAAGGTCTTATGAAGTTGTTTTTGTCTTTGTATTTCATACTTAGGTAATGTGATTATTTGTACCTAAGGAAGGTGGGAAATTGCTTTGGCTGAACTATTACAGCTCCATTTGTTTGTAAGTAAGAGCGATATTTTTGTTTAGCAACAATTGAAGAGGTTTGTCGATCCACCCAGGATTCTGGACCTTGTCAGGATTACTCTGATCAGTTCTACTACGATGCTTACAAAGGTTCGTTTTAATACTGAAACAAAAAGAAAAATACCGATTAAAGAATCATCCTATCCTGAAAAAAATTCTGAAATTCCTGAAATTATCCTGAAAATTTGTTTGAGCAAATCGTCCTAAGCAAGAGTTTACGTTGTAGTTGTAAGTACCATTTTGTCAGGTTAGATAGAAAATCACTCTTTCCTGGTGAATTCAAAGCTAAGACTCTCCGAAACAACGTTGTGTTTGGACCATTGTCCCATAGTTCGTATGCATCCCGTCCGGGTGGTCTTTCAAGCCGAGGAGTCCGGTGTTTCCATCAGGAAACCCAGCTAAAAGTAAACCAATAGCAGGATCGACCATCATCCTGGTACCGAACTAGTCGCATGGTGGCAAATCTCTCTCTGATCCACAAGTGCGATGGCCTGTGGTAGTGCCAACCTAAGACAGACTTTAGCCCGGCTGACCTCGGGACTCCAGGGAACCAGAATGGCTAAACCAGCAATACTCCGAAAAAGTGGAAATTTTACTTGGGTCCGCACAACCAATGAGGACGGGCCAACCAAGTATTCAAGTCTTGTTCGAATTACAATGTTCAAATCCTAATCTGTAAATATTTCTCTATGCTTTTTCTTTTCTATATTGTTCTTCATGTTGCTATCTTGACAAGGGTTATCTTATCTTTCAGACTACCAGTCCTCCTCGCTCGATATTGACATTGGTTCTATTCGCTTGCTAGCAAAAACGATTGATATCGATTTTGTAGGTACCTGTCAAACGTTTATTTACGGCGGATGTGGAGGAAATCTGAACCGATTCCAAACCAAAGAAGAATGCATGCAGCGATGTGGATTTCTGAATCCGTCGGCCGTTGCGGGACAGCCCGAACAAACACATACGGCACACTGGGGTACGTTAGAGTTGCAAGTCAATTTCTATTTAAAAAGTTAAGCATAAATGTCAACTTTTCATCTACTGCTGTTATTAGTTTTCACGGCGATGGGTGTGGCGCAGTGGTCGGGGGCGTCCTGCAACACCCATGGGATCGATCTTCGCGCCCTAGGCCCACCAAGCCCTCCATCCTTCCGAGGTCGGCATATTGGTACCAGAGTTGTCTGGAAGGGTAGCACCACTGAGTCGATGCATTGGTAGGCCACCGCGAGTCATTGTAAGGGCAAGTATGCATTCAGTCACCTCCAACGATGCTTCGTGAAGTAGAATGCATGGCGCATACCTCAGGAATTGATCAACACCTAGAGCTTCATCTTTTTTTAAAATTATTTTTCACGTCAGGATGCGATGTGAAATACAGTCACTATGAGGTTAAGATAAGAACTAAATGTTTGCTAAACAGGAATATAAACGATGTTTAGATATTTGTAAAACGTGGACCTTTGGCCAGATTCGAACCCCCAAAGTTTTGCAAATACCTCAACACCATAGTGGTTGTATTTCATATAATACTCTGCCGTAAAAGTAACAATTGGCAGTAAATAAAAAGTTAACGCTGTGATTTCGACTGCAGCCTCAGCTTAAGTGGGTTTAAGGTCGTTTTGTGCTCTTCAGATGAATCTTGTTGACGGGTGATTGCTGGCGGTATCATCGCCGTAAAGGTTGGTTGAGAGAGGCAGAACGAGGACCTCAGTGGTGCGTTGCGTCACACGTGGGCCCCAGGAAACGGTAATCGCGGGTTTGAATCCGGACTAGGGGCCAGCCTTTGCAAAAATCGGCATCATAGGAAGAGTAAATTGTTTAAAATTTATGAACGCGTGTAGAGCTTTGATCCTGTCAACACGCGTGGTTATTGGTTCGATTCAGTGTTCCAGAAAAGCTGGACTTGTCTGAGAAGGTAGAAACATTGAACTGATTTCTTCCACAAGCTGCCGAATAGGCCATGATGTGTTCAGTCACTTTCACGATTAATGGAATCGAATGCATAGTCTATTTACTCAGATATTAATCGATCCCGAATGCTTTTATACTTTAGTGAAAAGTCACAACTTTATAGGACAGCAGTCAGATCAGCATCAAGCAGACATTGTGCGACCTCCGCCACCAGTTGTGCCACACCAGCCATCACATGGCACCCATGGAGGTATGTTACTTCTAGCGAGCGTAGTAAGCTTTATATATGAATCTGAATTTTTAAACACCTTCTAGTTATTCAAGAAAAAAGACCATGTTTGTTTTTTTTTTGCAATAATCCTGCTTTGTCCATTGAAATCATTTGCAATTTCTCAGTGCAGAGTTAATTTCTGATAGTGCAGTGAATTTTTTTCAGACCCAATAGTGTTCAAAATTTGGAATAAAGTTTTGTAAATCTAAAAATCGTGGAGCCTTAAGTTCGACACTCGACATCTGAAAATGAGCAACTGTTCCTTTTCAGTGAAGACGCGAGAGGTCTGTCATCTGCCACTTGACGTCGGTAAATGCCAGGGATCGTTTGACAGCTGGTACTTCGAGATGGCCACTGGCTCGTGCGTCGAGTTCAAGTATTCTGGCTGCTCGGGTAATGCGAACCGCTTCACCAGCCGCGAGGAGTGCGAGGCCACTTGTGTTCGCCAAGCAGATGCACCTGTAGGTGAGTGACGGGGAGGTACAATTTGTTAGAAATTGAGGACTTTCTATTAAAAAAAGGAGATGTTTGTTGATGTAGAGAACTGTGGAAACGGTTTTTCATTCACTGGAGAAATACTTCTGATGATATGCTAGTAAGGCACCGAGTTTGGTTTTGGGTGGTTTTAGAGACCATCTCTCTTTTGCATAAATGGCCACCGTCACTTCCTTCCGATTTTTCAATAGAAGAAAGTATGGTTGTTCCAATTTTCCTTCTCAAGTGTTAAACTTCCCAAATATTTGTGAATTTGCTATTTTCCTGACATTTTCATGGAACAAAAACCTTTTCCTACAACCCAAGTTTATTTCCTATGCCATGGATAACCCGTACAACCGCAGTGCCTGAGCTAAGTTTCACTGTAATGCACAAGCACCACTAATTAGTTTAGCACTTTCAACATGGGTTTCTTACTATTTCCCGTTGTTGTATTTTCTCGGTATGTTTCTTGACCGGAAACCCTGGTTCTGAGTTTCCGAAAGAAAGCTTTAGAGTTTATTACTTCTTTCTTTCAACCATCGTCCTGTTACCAAACCAGTGGCATAGTGGCAAATCTCACTATAATTTACAAGGGCTGTGAACACCTGTGTTGGTAATGACTCAGACCAGACTTTGGCTAGGCTGATCTCGGGAGTCCAAGGAGCCACAGTGACTAAACCAGCAAAACTCCAAGAAAATGGAAAATGTGTTGGGGTCCGCGCAACCAGCGATCACAGATCATCTAAGTTTCTCAGTATTTCTTTCTACAGAAGTTGAAACTATTCGAGCACATGTTCTGTAGGAATTGGAACGCCCTCCGCAAAGTGAATTTTCGGTCGATTGAAATCGTTTAAGGTGCTACTCAAAGAGAAAGTTCTGTTTGTGATGAGGCTAAGGAAACTGGCCCTTGTACGAATTTCGTGACAAAGTGGTATTACAACAAGGTAAGCGCTACGAGAAGCAGCCGTTTACTTATAGGCTTATAGGTTGTTGGCGTAGTTGTTGTGAATATAAACTGTTTCTAGGCTGACGGAACGTGCAACCGATTCCACTATGGTGGTTGTGAGGGAACCGGAAATCGGTTCGATAATGAACACAGTTGTAAGGCTGCTTGCGGAAATCATCAAGGTAAATCGTCAAGCTTCAAAGAAGAAAATAACAGTGAAGAAAAAAGCTTGACTTTGAAATGACCTGTACCGATAAAAATAGTGATTTTGGTGTAGACTGAAAGTGAAGCTGAAGAGTAAGTCAGTATGAGTGATTTTACGGTCAACATGGTGATTTTCTATGCTATGTTTTCTTAGAAACTGCTAAAGAGACATTTCTCTGGAATCTATGCGGCCTTTTTTTCTCGTCATACTTGTCACCACCAATTCTTGGGGATGGTTTGTTCACGAGCATATCTAGATGTGGTCGTACTGCCAATGTAACACTTATATGAAAAAAAACTATAAAATCCCTATCAATCGATTTGTATGCTTATCATGGACTATGTTTTCAGATGCGTGCACTCTGCCTAAAGTACAAGGTCCGTGCTCCGGTAAACACGAGTCTTATTATTTCAACAGTGCCACGCATTCGTGCGAGAAATTCGTGTACGGCGGATGTTTGGGGAATACGAATCGCTTCACAACGTTAGAGGAATGCCAGGCTCGATGTCAGCGTAAGTAGACCCCAACGACACACCGTGACTTATCCACTTTCTGTGCGAATTTCGACCACAATTTCCATCACTTTCGCTCTCGTACAAATCCTCCATTTTTTCTTTTTTTTTCCTTTTTTGGAATGCGCTGAGCACTCGTATCTTGTTACTATGATGTCATTGTTGTTACTTGTGCGTGTGTGTTCGTTCAGCACTGCTTTAAAATAAGTCACTCCCTTTCCTTTCAGCACGCTCACGCATCTATTTAACATAATGAGCATAAATACAGTAATTTTTCCGTATGTTGACGACTGCTATTTGTTACATGGACGTTTTGCACTTTTTTGGGCCAATCCCTCTTTTCCGATACCCATTATTTCCTCTGTTGTACGCCGACTGATCGCCAATTTTTCGCTTCAAATTCGCCTGTCGTCAAGGATCGTCATCGTCTTTTCCCATATCTGTTGCAATAATGCTGTTTATCTGTTTGTCTATTTATCTGTCAATTTATCATCTCTGTTTTCAAATTATTCCTCCCAAAAGCTGCCCTATTTTGTTCTGTTTTTTTCCTGTGAAAGTTATTTAGTACACCGAATAAAATGTAATTGGCATTAGAGGCGCTTGGTCTTAGTTTGCAGATACACTGTTTGTCCGTAGTTGTCACGTCTTTTAGCGTTCCATCTAAGCATCGCTTTGCATCTGCTTCGTTTTGTTTGAAAGAACCGGAAGAAAGCCTTTTAAGTAGCACGTGCACTCTTATTGTTATAGAGTAAAATCTCAGTAGATTAGGTGCTACAATGGGAGCTTCTGGTAAGTAAACGCAGGTTAACAGTTTTTCTCTATTTTGGAAATGGTTAGCTCATCAACATGAGTGCGATAGTCTCCATAGCTCAATTACCCGTTTTCAGCGAAGACTGGCTAATTATGTTTGAGTCGAAGGGTTGGCCACTTTTTCTGCATTTCTTAAGAGGAAGTATTGCCCTGCTTTCAGAGATTTCTTTTCATTTTATTTGGCCCTCAGCATGACAGAGCGGAACGTACAGTGGTTAGGGCTGCCATGCAGTAGTTCGGATATGGTCACTGGCTTGACTGTATCCAGGCCAACGAAGCTTTCATTCTTTTCGGGGTGGACATAATGGTACCAAACTTCTCTGAGAAAAGCTCCATCCGATTCACAAAAGCAGGCAAATGCATGCTGAAGATCTGTGGCAAAGTATACTCTAGTAGAGCTATCCCAAGATTTCAGGGAAATTGCTTCGACCTCTATTTAACGACATCTGTGAGGAAGATGAAGTCTTCAATTAGTAGTCGAGACCACACGTAAATACGATGTCTTTTAGGAATGGTGAATGTGGGGCATCGAAACGAATGAGAAAGTGCTCGTATCCGCATCATATGTGATATCGTGTCGTATAAATGAGGAAGACCTAGACATGCCTTAATTCAGAAACACTGTAAGGCATTCTGGACTATTCGGCTCAGGTAGGGTCCTTTGGGAACCACACTGTTGAACTAACGCATCATTTTGCGCTAATGCGTGTTACCTTACACGCTATCGTACTCAGGACCACACCATCCTCCGGACCATTCTGAAGTATTGTTCCCAGTTGTATTTAAGGACACGAGCACTTCTAAGAAAAATGAGATGGATCAGCTTTGAATTTTGGTGCGAACGTCAGCTCAGCAACGACAATAAAGCGTCGTCGTCAACAAATTCGTTTAATATTTAGAAAAGGACTGCACGGACTTCCGCTGATTTACAGGATTCCTCTTTACTAACAACAGTTTCCGAACTTACAAATGTTAAGTGAAAACCGGCACCCATCTTTAAATGGTGACCAACTGAGACGTAATCTTCAAAACTATCTGTGGGGAAGTATGCGCGACCTACCAGGGACACTCAATTGTTGCTGGAACGAAGTTGCGCGGTGATCGTGGAATGGATTTCTATACTAGTTGAAGAAAGAGGTGAACGGGGCTTGGTTGTCACTTCACCAGTCTCTGTTGCTGCACCAAAACAAGAACGAGTCTTTGAAGGACCTGATAACTAAGGGCGATAGCTGAGTGTATGAAGACGACGATAAACATCACGCTTTCGGCTACCGTTGGGAGAACAGCGATCAGATCAGACGGAGCTGAAAACCGAGAACTGTTCCGTTGTGCTGCACAGGAAATTGTTGAGTGACAAATCGTGTCGATGCAAAAAATACTATGAGGCATCGCGTCGGCTAGCAAAGTTGGTAGGGGACTGCAAAGTTGAACTTGAGCTCGTTTATTTTGTGGCACGTTAGAAGCCAGAGATGTTCAGCTGTGAAATAGTTCCCCAACTTTCGTACTCCTGAACATAGAGCGTCTGATGTTAATGTTCCTCTGTCTTCAAAAAATCTTCTCGGGACAAGTACCATGCCAAATCTCCATAGCTTCTAGTAGAGATTGAAGCAGTGCTGCTTTGCCTAAACGCGTTGATAATTAGAAAGATTTCATCATATCTTGGGACAAAGTGCACTTTAAGTAGTTCTGAAAAACAAAAACGAAAAGAAAAAATAGTTAACCGTTGCCTTGTTTTAATAAAATAAAAGATAAAAAAGGACAAACTAGGCGTTGATCATTTGATTAATTCCTCTGAGATGCGCCATGCATTCAACTTCACTAAGCATCGTTAGAGGTGATTGGATGCATGTCTAGCCCTTACTCAAAGGAGCCTACCAATGTATTGAATCAGTGCTGATATTCTCACAGATATGTCTGGCACCAATTCGCCGATGCAGGGGTGATGGAGTGCTTGGTGAGTCTGGGACGCAGGGCGCCTCCTATCACTGCGCTACACGCCCCTCTTCTTGTTTTAATAATCGGGAAAGGTTAAAAACTTTTTTGCTGTAGTGAAGTGCCGAGTTTAAAGAGGATTTTCTTATTCCTTAGTAGAAAAGATAAAGAATGATTGGACATTACCATCTGCAAAAAAGAAGTGGATTGAAAAAAAGTGTTAATATGGAAAGAAGCAGGAAAATATGGATGAAAATCTTGTTGATGCACTTCAAGAGTTAAATTTTTGTTCAGAGATAGGCCATAATTGCCATAAAATTGATAAAAAATTGCGATTTAGGTTCACAGATTAGTAGTCGACTAATGCGAGATGATGAGCCACTGTCAAGAGGTCGGGCAGCTTCAAATGTCAATGTATGTGTCTTGCCGAAGGATGTAGGACCATGCAGGTCGTTAAATTTCTTCAGTACTGTCACAAGGCATTTTTAAATTTGCGACTAAATCTTCTCCAACATTGGGACTATTCTTGGCAAACGATATTCACTGTTACCCTAAATGGGCTTTAGAATGGAAATGTTGAAACTCTTTCCATCAGTGTGTAGTACGGATGGGAAGTGGTGTTGTATGCTACACAGAAATAGATTCTTTGTTGTAGTCATCAAATTTTAGCCACATAAGTGTTTGTAGCGTACTGATTAGAAGTGTCCTGTAATGCAACTGGATCGGTCGCTGGTTTGACCTCGCTCCCTGAATTCACCACACCCTCCAGATTCCTTGTGCCAGCAGATTGATACTAAACTTGTGTGGGGGTCATGATACAGACCAAATGTGCATTCAACCACAGCTACGATGCTTTATGAAAGCGAATGTATGGCACGTCCGCCAGACATTGATCAACAGCAAACGTTTCGTTCTGTCCTTTACAAGTGGGGGATGACGGAAAGTGTAGCGCAATGACTAGAGGTGCGTTCCAATACACACAGTGTCAGTGGCTCAGTATCATGCCTCGGGTTAAGGAAACCCTCCTTCCAAACGAATTTGGCAGATTGATACGAGATTAGTCTGAGATTAAAAAATTACTGATTTGATACATTGGTTAGCCACTACAAATCATTGTATAGGCCAAATATGCATTCAATCTCCTCTAGGATGCTGTGAATGGAGTAAACTACATAACACGTCCTTAAGAGACCGATTGACATCGAACGCTTCGTCTTTCATAAGTGAAGAAAAGCTCACATTCGGACCAAACTGACAGTCGTTGGACATTTCGTGTGTTAATCATTGTGTGATCTGGATTGCCTTATGGAAAGATTTGTTATGCTATAAGATTATAAAAAATTTTGAAAAATAAAAAAACTTAACGGTTAGGCAGAAACAAAAGGTCCGTTCTAGTTAGATCAAGATGTTCGTTATTCAACCATATTCACTATATTTACTTGGATACTTGAATGGTCCGCCTTCAATGGTTGTGCGGGTCTCAGCATAATCTCTATTTCTTCGGAGTTTTGCTGGTTTAGCCATTGTGGTTTCCTAGAGTCGTGAGATCAGCCAGGCCAAAATGTGCCCCAGGTCACCACATGCAGTCGTTGTCTTTTGGATCAGAGGGAGATTTGCCACTAGTTTGATACTAGGAAAGTGGTGGTTCCTGGTATTGGTTTACTCTAAGCTCGGCTTCCTGATGGAAACGCCGGACTCCTTCTCAGCTTAGGAGACTGCTGGGGGATGAGACCCCTGCTGAAGATCGCAGCTGGACACCCAGGAACGCCGTCCAGCTACGATGAAGTGGTAAATCGTTAGGATGTCATATTCACTATTTCACCATTAAGCACTATAAAAATATGAATCCGCTTCGTTTACAGAGCCTACATACCGTCATTCTACTACGACGCCCAAGATGGTGTGTGTAAAGAGTTTATCTACGGCGGTTGTGGCGGTAACACCAATCGCTTCAATTCTGCAGCAGAATGCGCCACCACGTGCTCACGAAGACACCAGGTAAATCATTTAGGTTTGCAGAAGTTTGCCAGCCCGGAAAATATGGATATCGATTTTTCGTGTTGGTAAAAACCCATTTAGGTGGTTATCCAGTGACGGGTTTTCTTAGGATGTAGAAATTGAGTGCAAACTATTTGTTGGACGTTAATAAGCCCGCATAAGTGACATTTGTCCCTCAGGGCAGAAGAGAACTTGAGCACGTGACAATCACGATGATGGATAGATATCTCGACGAAATGCCGACGTCTCGTTACGAGGCGAAGACATCGGATCAGGTAGATCGTGTAAATGACGAGGACAATATCAACGATAACATCCTGCGAGGAATGGACCAGGATGAGAAAAAGGTGTTTTTTCTATCAGATCAATCTTTTCTTTTTTCCTTCTTTTTTTACAGACTGTATTGCTCTTTTACAGATTTTGACTATTCAAAAGGAATTCTCTTCGCCCTACAGTCTTCCGGAGTTGTGCAATCTACCGGAGGAACGTGGCTCGTGCTATGACAACATATTGAGATGGAGGTTTGAACTGTTTCTTATCCGTTCGATAACAGTCAATACCTTACGGACAAGAATCGGATTCCGTTAGACATCATAGAGGTCATATTTGGCCTATACAATAACTTGAACTGGCCAACTGGCGCATCAAGTTAGTGTTTCGACTCTACCAGAGAAGTATAGCACCGGTTTGGTGACGTCTGCAGAGATGGTGGGTTTGGTTAGCGTTGATGGGGAACGAAACCATCACAGAGCACCTGTAACCACTGCGCTATACATGTCTGATTAGGAAAAAGACTCATCTCCCGTAAAAAGGCTTATCGCAAAAATTTGTGCTTACTTGTATAAGCAAAAATGTGGTCTTCGGCCACTGGATAAGTTGGCTGTGGCAGTTTAGTCGTGTGCCAACTTCACTGACATTAATGTCATTGTGGTTGTACGAATTTAGAGCATATTCGCTATCGATTTATTCGAAATTCGATGTCATTCAACCCTTTTCTTTCAATCGATTCCCATGAGAACCACATTCCTCATATTCACTTGGTTACATGTACATAGGAAATATAAACCACTTTTAGAAGTTTCATTAATCCATCTAATCAAACATTAGAAAGACATTGGTAAGCTTAGTTTTTTTGTTTGACCTCACTACTATAAAAACTCTCTATCTAAGTGTTGTTATTGTTTAACGTTTTTGTTTTCTGCCTTCTATAATTTTCATGGCAGGTTACTAAGCGAAATACAACCACAACGTTGCTGAGATATTTGCAAAACTCTGGACCGCAGGTGTCTATGGTGGGGAACGAACGCGCTATTATCCTTTCCGGGGAGTAACGCATTCACCACCACACCATGCGGGTCGNTTAACGTTTTTGTTTTCTGCCTTCTATAATTTTCATGGCAGGTTACTAAGCGAAATACAACCACAACGTTGCTGAGATATTTGCAAAACTCTGGACCGCAGGTGTCTATGGTGGGGAACGAACGCGCTATTATCCTTTCCGGGGAGTAACGCGTTCACCACCACACCATGCGGGTCGTTTGTTTCGCACGTCTCTCAGCTATTTCTATCGATCTTTTTGCCACAGCAATCACCCGTTTTGCGCTCCCCAGATCAACCCCGCTGACGGGTGATTGCTGTGGCAAAAAGATCGATAGAAATAGCTGAGAGACGTGCGAAACAAACGACCCGCATGGTGTGGTGGTGAATGCGTTACTCCCCGGAAAGGATAATAGCGCGTTCGTTCCCCACCATAGACACCTGCGGTCCAGAGTTTTGCAAATATCTCAGCAACGTTGTGGTTGTTGTTATTGTATTTTATTAGATAAAATTTTTATTGATTGCTATCCACTGAGGCAGAGAGCGGGTCATATAACGGCAAATATTCCTTAAAANACGGGTGATTGCTGTGGCAAAAAGATCGATAGAAATAGCTGAGAGACGTGCGAAACAAACGACCCGCATGGTGTGGTGGTGAATGCGTTACTCCCCGGAAAGGATAATAGCGCGTTCGTTCCCCACCATAGACACCTGCGGTCCAGAGTTTTGCAAATATCTCAGCAACGTTGTGGTTGTTGTTATTGTATTTTATTAGATAAAATTTTTATTGATTGCTATCCACTGAGGCAGAGAGCGGGTCATATAACGGCAAATATTCCTTAAAAGGCTAAATTCTTAAAGTAGCTCGACATTTTAAGAATATAAGACTCCATTCTTCTTGTGTTAGAAAAGTTGGTTCAGGTTTGATTCCGAGAGGAAGACATGTGTTTCGTTTATGTATGGTGGGTGTGATATGAACGCTAATCATTTCACTAGTGAGGTTAGTTTAGCCATATTCTATTCAGTTAAAGCAAAAAAAGAAACTTTGAAAGAGTAGGCTGATGGCGCAGAGCAATAAAGTGCCAATATCTTTTTCACTGTGCTCAGTTCGGAACACGAGTTCACCTTTTGATTTGTATCGAAGTTCTAGGTGTTGCAACTTTTTTCCAGAAAAAGATTTCCTTTTTTCATCTTATTTTGAAAATGATTTTGAAAAATGCGCTATATAGGGGCGGTGCGGCGTAGTGATCCGAGGCGCCCTGATACACATATGGAATCGATCCCCGCGCTCATGGCCCACCAAGCCTTCCATTCTTCCAGGGTCGGCAAATTGGTACTAGACTTGTCTGGGAGGATAGCAACACTGGTTCGGTGTATCGCTAGGCTACCGCGTGTCATTGTTAAGACCAGATATGCATTCAATCACCTCCAAACGATGCTTAATGAAGTCGAGTGCATGGCGCAGCCCTCAGATATTGATTAACGCCAAGAGCTTTAACCTTTTATCCTTTTATACTCTATATATCCTCCCAAAGGTTTAGCGCCTCATCATGACTGCGAGGTGTTCTTGGGTGTCGGGCTGCAGTCTAGAGAGCGGGTTTTACCCTCCAGCATGGTCTCATAAGATAGGAAGAAAATTCAGCGTTTCTATAAGGAAGCCCGGCTAAGGGTAAACGAATACCAGGATCCACCACCGTCCTGGTAGCAAACTGGTCGCATGGTGGAAATCTCCCTTCGTTCCATACGGGCGAAGGCTACTTTCGGTGGTAACGACTTAGCGCAGATTTTGGGTAGACTGTCCTCGAAACTTCAGAGAACCATAATGGCTAAACCACCAAGACTCCGAAACATTGGAAATTATGTTGGGTCTACACAACCAGTGGAGACGGGCCATCCAAGTATACAGCTATGTATAGGCGTCAGAGTTGCATTTTACTTGTTATTCCAATGTGAACTGGGTAGTTTCTAATCCACTCCTTGTCTTTGCTGGTAGAATTACAGAAGAGCATTTTTTTCTAGTAGTTATTTTTTTTAAACTTTGGACAAAGTTACAGCTAAGTGCTTAGGGCTCAGCAGTTTCTTTAGAGTGAGTGATTTTTGTAGGAAGACTGTGAACGTGCTTGCGGATCCTGGCGTTCAACGGACGTATGCGCCCTGCCATCAGATGCCGGCACATGTGCAGCTTCGGTAAACAAATGGCACTACGATAAAGCGGCCGGGACGTGTAGGATAATGTTTTGGAGTGGTTGCGGTGGTAACGGAAATCGGTGCGTTTTGGATGCTGGAATCCTGAAGACCTATTCATAGTCCATTGACACTGGGTAGTCTTATTCACGATTAACCACAAAACTATACACATTTTCTTCTCTTTTACTGTACCTCTATGCCTCTTGTATTATTGGATTTCTTTCCGATTCTCATCGAGAGAAGATTGCGAGTCATTATGTCGAGAAGAGACAACATGGGAGCAAAATATGGACGTTTGGTAACATTTAAAAACTATAAGTAGTGAGAATAAGCCTATTTAGAACAGTTGCAGTCAAATGCCACGATCATCAGGACCATGTCGAGACGCGATTTCGATGTGGTACTATGACAGCGCCGAGAACATCTGCAAGCAGTTCACCTATTCTGGTTGTCGTGGTAATGAAAATCGGTAGTGATTAAGTCGTTAGTGCATTGTTTCTAAAGGTGTTTCATATTGCATCACATTTTTAAAGGTTTGAAACAAAAGAAAGTTGCGAGATGCGATGTGGTGATAGACCTCAAGGCAACTCTGTAGCTGGAAGAACAGTGTTGAGTAGGAGAACTGCTCATTTAAAAGGCAACTCGAACAAGCATTACAGTGTCGGAGCAAAAGTAAGGAGTTATTCATTGTTGAGTTCTTATTGTCTATATAGGAAGCTAAACTGACAAGGAGATTCAGCTGCTAAAAGTCCTTGTGCTTATAGTTTTCATGCCTATTGACTATCCAGGAATGTTGATCAGGCATTATTTACATACATGGATACTTGGGTAGCACGTCGTCACTGGTTCTGCGGGTTCCAGCATAATTCGCATTTTTTCGGAGTTTTGCTGCTTTAGCTATTGTAGTTCTGTGGAGTCCCGAGGCCAACCTAGCCAATGTCTGCCCCAGGCCATCATCACCACAGGCAGTCACCACCCTTGTGGATTAGAGGAAGATTTGCAGCCGTGCGACTAGTTTGATACCGGTACGGTGGTGGATCCTGATGTTGGTTTACTATTAGTTGGACTTCCTTATAGAAACGCCGGATCCCTTCTCAGCTTGAGAGCCCCATCGCTGCACATTGCAGTCCGACACCAGGACACCCGACAAACCTCTCAGCCACGATGAGGCGGTAAACCGTTGGGAGGATCAGGCGTTATTTTTTTTTTTTACAAAAATTCCGCTATCCGGTTGTAATCTTTTGTGCTATGTGGTATTTCCCAGTGGAATCACCACTTGTACGGTAGAGGGGTTTTTCTAAATCCTTTACTTGCTTGGATAATATCTGGATATCTCTTCTTCACAAATCTTATCAATCGTGTGGCTTCTGTTACGCAGATTTTTCTGGTTACTCAAGTTGTTCTTCTGTTTTCTGGAATTCTTACATTATTATGCCAATGCGCTCCGAAGTCTACACCGCAGGAGATCACTGGCCTTCTTGAATCGCTGATGAGTTTACCATTTCCGTCCTTCCACATTTTTGCCCAGAGGAGGGCAATCATTGAACTTGGCTTGCTCATAAGTAAAATTTTTAACGAAAAGCGTCAAAATCTACTTCGGTATCCTCGTCTGATAGTTGAATCAAATCACTATTCAACAGTCAGAAGCACATTATCGTAGTAACAAAGTGGAGCACATACGGTGATTGTATGACCAATCATTAAAGTTGTCCAGTAATAAAAAATTACTGAAGACTATTTCTAAAGTTATCATATTTCATCACTATCATAAAAAGTTAGAAAGCTCTCGGCTTTGATCAATCCCTGAGGGAGGCGCCATGCATTCGACTTCATTAAGCATCGTTTGAAGGTGATCGAATGCATATCTGGTCGTTAAAATGACTCGCGATGGCCTACCTATGTATCGAGCCAGTGCTGCTATCCTCCCACACAAGCCTGATACTAATTTGCCGGCCCCGGAGGGATGGAGGGCTTACTGGGCCTTGGGCACGAAGATCAATCCCGCGTGTATTGCAGAGCGCCTCAGATGGCTGCGATACACAAGCTCTTCGCTATCACAATTATTCGTTTATTTTGTCGATTCCACTTTAGATGAGCTGAATATCTTCTAGTGAATGGTCCTGTAGTGCCGCTTGAAACTCAAGGTCTCATCATGATTTTAATTCTGCATTTTTGTTCATGTGCCATATTTCATTTTGTTTCCCTCAAGAGTATACCTCTTAATTGCCATCGGCGAGATGTTAATTGGTGTTATACTGCAATGTAGAGTCAAGCTCTATCTCCAGTAAAGTTTCTCGATATGAAGAAGAACTCGGAATTCTTGTCCAGGAGCTGTGTAAACTAATGTTACGGCCATGTGCGATGAACATGCCATGGTTACTTTCTTCCCAAACTAGTCAGTCACAGTGGCACGTGCAAAGTGTGGGTCGCTCTTCGTGTCTGATTGTGCGATCCCAGCTTACTAAAAAGACTAATTGAGCTTACTGGTAGTCAATGGAGCTGTTTGGGATTTAAAAGGAAATCAGGGGCGCGTGTAAAGCTGTGTTCAGAGCCGCCTTGCAATACACATGGGATCGGTCCTCACGCCCCAGGCCCTCCAAGCCCTCCATCCTTCTGAGGTCGGCAAATTGGTACCACACTTGTCTAGGAGGATAGCAGCACTGACTCGGTAGGTCGGTAGGCCACCGTGAAGCATTGTAAAGGCCAGTTATGCATTCGATCACCTCCAACGATGCTTAACGAAGTCGAATGCATGGCGCATCCCTCAGGGATAGTTCAACAACGAGAGCTTTATCCTTTACCCTTTAATAGTAAGTCATCTGATGCAGATGATTTGACTTTGCCCAGGGCACCAAGTGGCAGTTGACGTTTATCGCAATGAATATTCTTATACGTTCATATTGAAGACTTGATGTGATCGCCTCGTAATAAGCTTCGCCTCTAATGCTGTTACTGAAATGATTTTTCTAACAATAATTAATACTTTTATACCATGGAGGATTTCTTACCTTGTTTAGATCGAACTCACCTGTGATTCTTACGGTGCCTACCCGATCGTTTGGTGGAAGAACAACGATTTGTTGACGTTTAGTAGAAGAATTCGGGTAAATATGGCTTTCAAATGAAAGTTTCTATTATCACTTAGTGTTCTAGCATCTGCTATGGAAAGAAACTGGCAGGAATCAATACATATGCTCTTCATGCGTCTTTGAGATATCCACTTAAACATATGGTGGAAATACCACCATTGCACAATGGGCCATTGTTATGTCCCGTATTTTGTCGTAATTTTCGGACGTACTTAGTGGCGGTATTGCGCAATGGTCGGAGGACCCTTGCAATACACGTGAGATTAATCTTCGCTCCCAAGGGTTACCAAGCCATCCGTCCCTCCGGGGTCGGTAAACTGGTACCGGACTTATCTAGGAGGATAGCAATACTGGCTCGATACATCGGTAGGCCAAAGAGAGTCTTTGTAAAGGCCAAATATGCATTCAATCACCTCTAAACGATGATTAACGATGCATGACGCATCTCTCAAGGATTAATCAACACCGAAAGCTTTATTTTTGTTTCTGTTAATCGAATTTGTTATTGCAATGTTTAGGAGCACGATCAGTTCAGTAGAGTGAGCATTTTACGAGCTGTATCAGCTGACAGTGGTGAATATCGGTGTGCTGTTGGACCCGACGGATTACTCAGTAACGCCTTCCATGTGAGAGTTATCGGTGAGGTTTTTTGGGATGGAAAATTGGTGACCTGCAACGAAAATGGTTGAAAACGTTTTTCCAAGAAGCGATGGTTTTTCATTTCTTGTGGTTCTTTACTTTCTTCGGCATATCTACTTCATATTTATTTGTACTCTGTTTACAACAGTAATTATTTGTGCTGATCATCAGGACGTTTTGAAATCATCTACTTGACGATGAAATTTTTATTTCCACACTGTGATCTCCCAGTCCTCATAGTTCCGTGGTTAATCCTGGTTGCTTAACTATAGCGTATAACGGAGTTCAGTCCTCGAGCAGGGCTACTCAAGTTGGAATAGAACTTGAAGATTTTTTGTGGAAGTTCACCATAAAGTATGACTGGTCAGTGCTCATTGAGCTACGCATGGCTACATTTCCGCTAGAAACAATAGGAAGATGTTGTACCAAAACTGTCTGTGTTTTTGTGCTATTGAAAGAGTGGAATAGATCAATGAGCACTGTATGAAGAGCAGCAACGAGTGGAATTTGAGCATTCCAGCTGCAGTTAATCTGCGATTGTTAGTATTAGAGGTGATGAAGATGATGCGGCTGTTTTCATACAATTTTATTCCAGAGAACCCTGAGAGTGACGACTCTCAGTGCACAGGCGATGCAGGTACTGCGAAGACATGTGCGCTGATCGTGCAGAACGGCTTATGTGCAAAGAAACGATACAAGGAGTTCTGCTGCATATCCTGTCGATCAGCATCCTCTAATCATTAAGCGCAGAAACGCTGACGTCTTCAAGTATGAGAAGGCGTGAACGAAGAAACTACGCCACGTACAGATCTGACACAGAGGTTCACTGTTATTGTTTGACCATTGATGAACAGATAATAATGAAGTTTTTCCTTACTAGATTTTTCTACTTTGCGTGTAATTACCACTTAGTATTTTCTCTGCTTATACCTTTGCTATGATCCCGTTTGTTTTTTTTGTTTTTATTCCTTTTTCTCTTTCAAGTTGCTACTTATCTAATTTCCCTACTTTCTATCTCCGAAGCCTTGCGCTGAATTTCACTTCATGTATACGTACTTAGCATCATTATTCACTTACTTTTTCTCAGAGATGTAATCTTAACGTTCTCTCTGTACGTGCAATAAATATCCCGTCTGAAAAAATTGTTTGGCTCGCGACCGTCCCGCACTTGGCAAAGAAGTGCTTCGTGAAGATGAATGTATTGAGAACTTCATGCACTGTTTCTATAGGTGGAACACGTTAACTCTTTGTTAATTTTATAGATATCGATCTGTAAGTTTTTTTGCTTTATATGTTTTTCTAGGGGCGTGTGTGGCGCAGTGGTCGAAGGCGCCCTGCAATACAAACGTAGAATCGATCTTCGCGCCCATGGCCCGCCAAGCCCTTCATCCCTCCGGGGTTGGCAGATTGGTAGCAAACTTGTCTGGGAAGATAACAGCACTAGCTGGATAGATCGGTAAGCTAGCACGATTCATTCTGAAAGTCCGATATGCATTGAATCATCTACAAACGATGCCTAATAAAGTCGAATGCATGGTGCATCACTCAGGGATTGATCAACGCTCAGAGCTTTATCTTTTTTTTATTTTTTTCCGTTGCTAGGTTTACTGTAATGCTTCCAAACATCAGTCGACTAATGCCAAAAGTCGCTTTCGCTCCAGAACAATCCTGGTGGTGAGGCTGTAAATGTCCAACCTACGCATTAAAGTCAACGTTTGGTTGTGGTGAAAAGATTGAATTTTTCTAGGACAGTTCTCTCAGAGTTATGCAAGGAAACGTGCTCAGCAAACATTTGACATATCAATGAAGAAAGAAGTCTAGAAGTCAACCCGTAGCAGAACCCACATGAAAACCGTGAGTGGCCGTCGAAAGACAGTGAAACGATAGAAGAAGTGCTGACTTCCATAAGACATAGGAGATATGTCACCCTGTCGAAGTGAATTGTTTTCTTTACTATTATAAGAAGACTAATACGATGTCAAAATATTTCACTAAATATAGTTTACCGAAAAGTTAACCGAACAAAAAAATTAATACCTTCCTGGATTGTTGAGCTAACATTAGGTTGATACAAAGATTTATTCATCTAACGTTTCGACGCCTTCGTCTTCTTCAGAGGCGATGATCCGAGTGATAGTCCACAGCCGTTTGTCATCTCGATGTGGCGTCTTCATCTTCGTGTCGAGCCGGACCTTCTTCAGAGGAACACCGCTCGAATGAGGCAAACTCACCCTGCAGTGTTCTTTTATACTGGATGATGGTTGTTGATACGACCAACCGTTGACAATAAACTGTATTTAGACAGATAATCCGTCCTGCAGAAGACGGCATTATGTTAGCGAGCACATAGCGAATAGTAAAAATAAACTCTATGCGTTGACAAATAGGAAACAATTTTCTCTTAAATGGCAGAGTTCACATATCTTGCGGCTCTGGTCAGTAGTGTTTCCAACACTTTCATTCGAGTTATTTCTACAAATCTCCGTCATCCATGAAAGGTTTCAGATTTACAAGTAAACTTAGATGCTATCATCGCTCTCTCTATGAATGTCGTTGAATGCTGTTCACATGGTTTTTCTTTAAAATCCTAAAATAGCTCTGCTGGATCACTCTCGTTTATTCACCGCCGTACCCTTGATGGAACGCACCAAGACTTGAAAAGCGCAGGAAAAGTTTTTCGTGGAATCGCCACAAAACCCACCGACTGGTTGTTCGCTTTTGTTCACCAGTGCCGATCCGATTATTATGGTAATATCGCAGGACATTCGTGTCATTCAAATCATTCAAAGATGAGAAAAACTATAGCTACTGAAGAACGATATTGGCACGAACAAATGATCTACAAGCACCGTAATTAGCCAACGTATACTTGCCATAAATTGGGTGGCACTAGTCGACACGAAGTCTAAGCAACCGTGTCGTGTTGCTCAGAACTTTAAATCCTAATGTTTTTTCTTATTCACTCGGTAAGTGCTTCTTTATATAGAAGTGTAGCTGTCAAAAAGCAAGGTCTAACTAAATATGGTAACGGGTGAATGGCGCGTGTGGCGCAATGGTTGGAGGCACCCCGCAGCACACACGTGGAATCGATCCACACGCCCATGGCTCACCAAGCGTTCCAACACTCCGGGTCGGCAAATTGGTACCAGACTTGTCTGGGAAGATAACAGCACTGGCTCGATACATCGATAGGCCACTGTGAGCCATTGTAAAGGCCAGATATGCATTCTATCACCTTCATACGACGCCTAATGAAGTCGAATGCACGGTGCATCACTCAGGTATTGATCAACACCGAGAGCTTTATCTTTTTTTAATGGGTGAATATTATACAATTTATGGTTGTACACAAATTCCCCAACATTTTAAGGAAGGCCTCCAGTGAATAATAAGTGAAATTGATTTTTTTTCTTTGTAAAGATATCACAGAAAGTACATTTTTTCTGCTTTCGAACTTCTGTACAATTTTAAAATAAAGATTTCTGAAGTACTCTTTCCATCATAGAGTAACTGCAAGCGATAAATAAAGAAACAATCTGTTCAGCAAACACGTAGAAAGAATTGTTCAATCAATGCCGAGGTTAGTAGAAAGTCGGACTTGGGAGTTACTAAAAGAAACCATCTTCTATAGAAACCCTACATTGAAAAATCTTTTCTCTTCGATTTAAATCCAAGTCAGAAAAATAAAAAGAATTTGTTGGATGTTTTGTCATTGTATGTTTTTACGAGTTCTCGTAATAATCGTGATGAAGTCACCGTTGGCCGTCCGACGAAACGATTACCAATCGGGCTGAACAGCTGAAAAAGTAGATTTATGGTTGAGTTTGTCGTCATCGAAAATGAAAACGGACGCCGTCCGTCCTAGTACGTTGCCTATCGACCACCAATCTGTCGACGAGCCAACTGATGGGTGGTCGATTGGGAACGACGACAATGACGAATGGCGATGAGTAATGTGTTGTAGCAGCGATCTTCCTTGTACTCTCTCCGATTCTAATAGATAATGATTGTGAGAATAGAACAGACTTCTTCTCAGTTAATGAAAATGGACTAATGGATATTGATTTGTGGCTACCAAGGAGGAACCGTAGTAATGAATTCTGTAGAAGTCGGTGTTTCACAATAAGAACAATTTGATAAAATTGAGATAGAAGGGCATCTATCAAAGTTCCTTCACGCAAGATTTATCAAAGGGCTCTATCAAATCTGTATCTATGAGCTCAGTTCTTTATAGTCTTTGTAATCACCTTGTTTAAGCCTAAGTGTAGATCAAGATACTTTGAAATCTTTTCCAAAGGACGAAAGTAGCGACAAGACGTCACAGAGATCTTTCGAATTTCCCAACGTTTATTTTTATCCAAATCATTAATTATGCTTTGTTCGAACAAAAGCCGGCTTTAAGGCTTTTACTTTGTCCGAAAAATGACTTCTAAGTATTTACGAAAAGAAATTTGTGTTCCTGAAAGTGCTCGATATTCACTTCATATAATTTACAGTTTTCATACACAGAAAAAATTATAAAATGACCAATCACGGCTTATTCAAGATTTACTGGTATTGGAGAACTATTTCAAAAGTTCATAAACTTAAGACAAGTGGGAATTTGTCGACCAGCAATCGATTCAGATCCAATAGCTTTTCAGCAAATAAAATCCTTAATATACGATTGATCATAGCTGAGTCACGTAACTCTCGTCGGACACCTATATGCGCGCCAGCCATTTGTTTTCCCTTTTTCGTGTTCTCAGAATCATCGATTAAATCTTCATGGAGGAGGAAGCAGGCTTTTAGCCGTCATATCTCTTTTTTTCGCTTTCTATTATGGAAATCCATATCACAGCTGTCACCAAATCATCTCGATAAGTTGTGGGAACTCAGTTATTGCTTCAAAAAAAGTTAAAAGCTTTTTAAGCAAAGGTGTTAGCATTGACGAAATCTCGATTGAGGAATACACTGTCGTATGAAACTAAGAGGAAAAATTTCCCTCAAAGAAGCGGAATAAAATTAAGCACTCTGACGAAACTGATCGATTTCCTTCGGAAAGCCCACGCTTGTGGCTATAATTACATCAAAATTCCATGAAAATGAAGTGGTAGGAAATGTCAGTCTTCTCCGTGTCCATACTTGGGGCTAGCCGGAGGACTGTCGTAGCAGGAAAGTTGCGGTCATAAAAGGGACAATCCGAAGAAATGATTTTATTTCGAAAAAACTTGGCACGATTAGGATAACTCGTTCGCACGAATTGTCGGTGACCGCAGCAGGTCAAGTCTCAAAGTCTCATCTGCTTGTTATGTTGCTGGGGTTGTTAGTTTTTTCTGCAGTTTCTCGAAATTGTGCAAGGACGTCTCCAAGTCTTTACCAAAGACAGGTTCTTACGGAGAGAAAGAGCGTTTATCGCTTTGCGATAAAGTTTTTTCTTCAAGACGCGATTTAAGATTTAGTCGAGATCCCGTATGAAAATGCCCAAGTCGTCTTTTCTCGAACTTGCTTTGCTCTGCCCTAGAAAACTTTGCCCTCTTTGGTAGTTCGAGTTGATTAAATTTTAAAAAAATTTCTCTAATTCGTAAATATTTTAAATATTTAATTTAGAAGCAGATCGAAGAAAATCGTCATTAGTGTGCGCTCTCAAAAAGTATTAGCAGAAACGAGGCAGTCGAAAAGCCAGAGAAAAGGCTATAGATTCACTGGAATCTTCAAAAAAAATTGGAAAGGCCATTTCGATTTTTCCATTAATCTTTTGAGTTTGCACATAATTTAGCGCTTTTTTGAGAGAAACTCCTCCTGACTGTCAAATTTCAGTGCAGTCGGGCTTATACATTTTCCAAGGTTAGCCTACTTATGTGGTACCAAAACCATGATATTGCTTTTGTCTTTCAAATTAGCAGAGCTTGATAGGTAGAAGACTAGAACAAGTGAAGACTACACTGTTGTTCTGATTGGAGCAAGTTGATGATTAACGGGTTTAAAGATTGCAGAGGATCTTTTCGTAGTGCCATTTGTTGATCAGCAGAGGCCGCTGTTTAAAGCTTCGGATGAAGTTAGCGAAGTATCTGGAAAGATTTTTGTTTACGGCTTAGTGAAATAACAGGTAAAAGAATACTTTTAGTGCGTTTGCTGTCGGCAAAGCCAATTCAGTGAAATTTGATAAGTCGAAAAACTTCGAATGCCCGCCCGGGTCACATTCGTTGCCAATCAGAGCATTAGCATTGGCTTCAAGATCTGCCCGATATATATGCTCTTTTAAAATAATAATACCATTTTTTAAAATACCGCACTAAGGCGGGTTCTCCAAAATCCATGAATCTCTTCGCTCTGTTCGAATCTTCAAGGCTACTGTTCGCCCACTCTTCAACTCGTCTTTAGTACTAACCGTCGTCTAACCTTTCATTTAAGAGATTTCGATTATTGAAAAAGCCGCTTTTCTGAAGGATGTAATACATTTAAAAAATGTTATAGGATAGAGGAACATGATGCCGCAAATTTCGAAGAGTTCTGTAGGAAATGTTGTCCAGAGTCATCAGTTTAATGAATGATGTGCATGAAAGTGGGAATTGAAATGAATAAAAAAGTGCCGTTTCGGATTTTCTTGAATCTGAATGGCATCGCTTTCCAATATTTCCTTAAACGAATCCATGATCCTTTCTTGGAAACTCGTAACTATTGAGGAGATCCTCTTAACCTCTTATATAATATTTTCTTTCAAGAATGTTCTAAACGGTGGACAACAACCGTTGGTGACTAAATTTTCGGGATGTCAAACGTGCTGCGGGAAGACGGATGGCTAGAGTTCTTCACGAAAGCCCCAGAAGAATGATGCAATGCTCGACGAGTCGATAGAGCGAGCGAACTCACCGGCCTAATCTTGCACTCGACGGGGAGAAATCAACTGAATCAAACTCAGGAACTTAAAACAACCAAGGACGGTAAATCAACAAGGATCAACCGGAAAACAGATGATATAAGTGATTCCAAGCGGCTCCGGTCTACGGTTTCATCACTGCAGTTTTTGAATGTTCTCCTGTGCGAAATCTCTCACCTACCGAAAGCAACCAGTTCTGATTCCTCCAGAAAACTTCTGGAAGTCTGCCGTGCAGGAAGATCGAGTGGTAGATGGATAGATGGGACGAGACGACGCGTCCGGTGGCTAGCGCTCGCCCAGCTTCATCCTGTTCTGGTCAAGTGGCCGGCTGGCCAGCGGCGACGCGGCCTCCACTGTCCCAAGCCCCGTTAGTGTCCACCACCATGGAGTCGCCTGGTTATGTGCTGAGTGCAAAAATTCGCGAATTTTTCAAATACACTGGCATTCTTGTTCACAGGTAAGCATGGGACTTTTACAATGCTCCTACTACAATCTCAACTAAATGAACTGTGACCGTGCCTTATCAAAAATTTGATTAACTAGAAAATGCTTCGTAATAACTCATTCTGCTGATTACTTAAAGTTAATTAATTTCGAAAGCTATAAAGAATAGCGAGAGTTCCCATTTTACGCTGATTAAAACCGCCGTTTGTCATTCGGTCGTATTTTAGTACTGTACTCGTTTTTGTTCGTAATGCAGAAAACATGAGTCACCGTAATTGCTCAATTGAATCAAATTACGTCGAAGTGTGAGTTCATTAGAATGCGATGGAATTTGTGTTTTTGTGATTGTTCTCCGCTAGAGACTACTCTCTTGGATTGGATGTCGTTTTAATTAAAGTGTGGCGAATAAGTCAGTGACGTTGGTGAGGCTCATGGGAAGAGCATCACCGCATTGTTCATCTCTCGGAGAAGTTCACAGGAATGTTGAATTTAGCAGTGCTGTATGTACAAGAAATTTGCTGTGTCTGATTTCTAAGAACTTGAGCGTTGTTATCCGTTAGAAGCCAGTTTGCTACCAATTTATTGACTTCACCGTGGTGACCATTTGATATGAGATGACGCCTTCAACTGATCATCAAGCTGTTGACCTTGACTTTTAACTTTTAAATGACAAAAGGCTTAAGCGGTGCTTCACCGAAGAAGATTGGATTCGATGCGACAATGAAAATGCCACATCCAAATACGTACGGCAATGGGCCACTGACTTGGATCATCGGCTCCGATGAAGGCAAAAACGTCGAAACGTTATCCGAATAGGCGTTTTTGCTTTAGACTTATCAGTGAAAGTGCTCAAATTGACCACCAAGCATTCTCCCTCGTTCAGCAAGACAATTACTTTCTTCGACACTTTGTCTTAGTGATTCGAACTTACCGTATACATGTACACGACTTCTAACTAGTCCCTTTTTCTCGGAATTTCCTAAAATTGGTTAAATGTTTTCAAAATCAAGTTGGGAAAAGATACTCACTGTTTAGTTTTTACGATAATATACTCGATTTGGTCCGGACGATTCCCTAAGCGTTATAAAGTAAAGTTGAAGTTGCTTGCTTTCTCTTTTTTGCTTCCAACGGCTTTCCAGAGGAATCGCCTGGCGAAGGCTTCTTTTGTGAGAAAGCCTTATGTTCGCTTCGATTTTTTGCTTGCTGAACAAATTTTTTAATAAGCAACCTAAATTGACTTCGAACGACCCACAAGCATGAGCATGCCCTTTTTTAGTATCCAAATCGTCTCAAGTTATTCGAACGACACTGCATTTCCCATAACAGTAAAAGACCAGAAAAATAATACTCTCGAAAAAAGTCCGAATCATATTTTTAATTATTTGTTCTAGGAATCGGCAGGTGAAGTTATCTGTTGCTGATTATTTAAAGCTAACATCCTAGGTGGCGTCCTAGGCGAAATGTGTGGCCAAGGATGTACAGAGATCTCTGTGTTATCCACATTGGCTTTAGTAGCTTTTCACTTATCTTCATTTTAAATCTTTATTTATCACAATCTACCGGCAGTTTACGGAAAGTTAAGTAATAAGTTCGTATCGCTTAGATTGAGGTGGCTATTCCTCTGTAAAACTACGAAAGAACCTTTCTTTTCAATGTGATTGGCAGATTCATTTAAAGGGAGTGGAGCTCAAACTTTTTCTCACCAAAGAGGATGCTTTTGTTACCCAAGTAGGAACGTTGGAAGTCCTGTTTGCTCAAACTTCGAATTCGTTGGGTTTGTCTCGAGTTTAAAAAGATCGTTGACTCTTCTGAAGCATTTGAAGTTATCTTCTAGGATGTTAGTAAGATCTGAACCACATTGTCTTAGTCGTTATAATGGGTAGAATCGACCGACACTACTGTTTTTAGAACTTCTAGACAATTTTTGCGACTCGTTTCATTCTTTCCTAAGTAGATTTCAGATAATTTTTCTTCGAAGCGGTGACTTTGTTTGCTAAGTAGTGCAACGAGTCCGAAAAAACTGTAATCAAGCACAGCAACGAGAACACTTGCTTGGTCGTCAGATCGTTTACGGGCTATTCAATTTCCCTGGAGGCCGCCAATCTTCTACCACAATGTTTCTGCACCACTTACAAATACTGGATTTACTTCGCTGAATCCGTGATATCAAGATGATCAGAGCTTTCGGATTCCCTGTGAGATTCAAGTTTCTCCGAATGCTGTTGCTAATATAATCGTCGTCAAATAAAACATATTTGGTCGGTCCGATTATTATCTCTGTACGAAGTAAATCGACTTCTCGTTTTTTTTCATTTTTTCCGTATTGCTCGCTATAAACCATATTTTTCCTTGATACGGAGCTTTGAGTCCGCAATTTCGGAACATTGAACCCTATCTTATTCATGCGATTAAAATATATTTCTTGAAGTACTTTGCCTATTGTCAAGATGTTTTCAATCTCACGCCTTGTTAAATATATGCTTTAAAAATCTGAAAAATTGCTGGTACACAAATTCAGGGTCATTATTAATATAACCCTCTCAACGGTTTACCGCTTCATCGTGGCTAGGAGGTGTTCCTAGGTGTCGGACCGCGATGTACTGCAGTGTGATTCATCCTCCTAGCAGGTCCTCCCAAACTGAGGAGGTGTCTGACGTTTCCAACAGGAAGCCCAGCTAGGAGTAAACCAATGTCAGGATCTACCATCGTTCTGTTATTAAACTAGTCGCATGGTGGAAAATCCACTTCTTATCAAAATGGACGACGACTTCCAGTGCTGATGGCGACCTGGGATAGAGTTTGCTTAAACTGACTTCGGAGATCCAGGGAACCACAACAGCTAAGCCAGCAAAACTCCGAAAAAATTGAAATTATGCTGGTGCTCGCACATCCAGTGGAGATAGGTTCTCCAAGCATCCAAGTGAGTGTTAAGGTAACAGTGTTAAATTAAATGTTTTTCTTCAATAAGCGGACACGAGGTTGTTAATATAGAATTTATTAGAAGGTTCTAATAAATTCTATATTAACAACCTCGTGTCTGCTTATTGAAGAAAAACATTTAATTATCAATTAATGCCGAGGTTAACAGAAAGTCGGTCTTGGGAAGTGTTAAATTACATGAAGTGGTATCTTCCTGCAAACTCATTATTTCTGGGTTTCGTTTCCTAATTCTTCTTTTCTTTCCCTTTCATTAAATGATCGCTAATTTAGCGCATTAGGGTAATCATCACACTGGATAGTTTTTTTGCACATTTTATGTCACGTCTCTCTCTCTCCTTCGGCGTTGATCTACCCCTGAGGGATTCGGCATGCATTCGACTTCATTAAGTATCGTTGGAGGTAGCAGAATGCATATCTGGCCTTTACAATGGCCTACCGTATCGAGCCAGTGCTGCTATCCTCCTAGACAAGTCTGGTACCAATTTCCGACCTCGGATAGATGGAAGGCTTGGTGGGCCATGTGTGCGTGGATCGATTCCACGTGTGTGCTGCGGGGTGCATCTAACCACTGCTCCACCTCACGTCTAGGTTTTGTATTCAGTGTATTTCTATTCTTTTTCATTCACGTATAAGTATTTATTTATTTACCTACGAGGTTAAAAAAAAGTCAATCATGGGAATATTTACCTACCGTTACTCCACAATCGCCCTGCAGCCCTACAATTCTAGTTTCAAACGAGATGGTATGGCAGTGGATGAATCAACTCACAGAATGGAAAAAATATCAGCTAATTTCTTGTTATCCTACATATGACAATTATCAAGTGGTTCGCTAATAAGTCATTTAGTTTGACCGATTGTGGCTAGAGGTGCTCTGCGATACGCATGGGTTCGATTCCACGATCCAAGATCACCAAGCCCTTTATCTCTCCTTGGTCAGCAGATAGGTACCAGACTTGTGTGAAAGGAAAAGACAGCAGAACTGACCTCTAACTATGTTCAGTGAAGTCGAATACATAGCGTATCCTTTCCAATTGAGCGTAGAACACATGGAATTTGACTGCTTGTAGCAATGGATTCCAGAAATTTCTTGAAAAGTATTGATCAATCTTGTCTCAACCTTCATGTAACTGTTTCAACCAACTTAAACGAATAGAACCGTATCGGAATCTTATTAAGACAGCGCATTTTGAAGGAAACAACAAAGAAAGAGAAAGAATAGCTCGATACAAACTTGTGACGCTTTCATAAGCGGAAACTACTCTTGATTTTTCAAAACAATTGAATATGAAGTGGAATTTAAATGGGCTCCCTATCACTGATCCAGAATTCTTCGGATCATTTAACGATTGATACCCTTCGAATCAAAACCACTCTCTCGAAAAATCGATCTGTGGTAGATGATCCGGAAAAAGCGCTAAGCATTCTACTGAGCAGACCTCTTTATAGGGTTTTTATAAATTCAATCTTTTTTTCCGATATGCGTAAGCTGGGCTTACCCAGTTGTCAAAATTCGTGAATTCTTTTGGTGCTAGTCAGTCGCTTTGTGATGTGTCATGCATTCGACTCCATTTGTAGCATCGTAAAGTTGGACGCTTTCTAATGACCTACACCATCATATCGACGTAGCGCTGGCGTTTCTATCTTTCCAGGCAACTTTGATACCCGTTTACCGAGCTCAACGGGATGAGGTGCTTTGTATGTACGAGGCGCAAGATCAAACCAATGACTGCGTATCTAGTGCAGAGCGGCTCTAAACAGCACTCTACACCCACCCCATTTATCTGATGTCTGCGAAAACTATTACAATTTTATGTATACTTTTTATGTATACTTTTGTTTAACCAGTTTTGAAGATTCTTTCTAGTTTCTACATACCAAACATGAGCTTCAATGAAATGTACTTATCTTTTACTGTTGTTCAGTGAATTTCTCATAACTATAATTATGCTGCTTCATCATAATGTCGGGCTGCTCCCAGGTCACATACTATAATGTGGAGCAATTGGTTGGGTTATCTCTCGTAGAGTAATTCATGTTGAGAAGCAGTTGGGCATATCTTTCCAGAAAAACAACAAGGTTAAGTCTAGATTCGCTGGCGTCTTGTTGAAAGAGTACGGCTGCGAGGCGTCAAAGCTTCTCTAGGGGATGGGAAGGGATGGTGGTCGTTGGCGACATTTCGTGTTAACGACATGGGAAAGCCTCAGAACGGCATTCTTCGGATTCCATGGAGAGAAATCTTGCACAACTAGCAAAACGCGAAAGCGAAACGATAACTGCAATCAGGGCTTGGACATTTCATGAAGACGATCCAACCCCGCCGGGAAATCCAAGTGTTTTTTATTAGATAAAGGTTATAATAGTTCTATTGGATTAGCCTGACTGAAACTGTAAAGGTTGTTTCGAACATAGACAGTAACTGTTGTAAGTTGTGACTCATACTTACAATAACAAAATTTGTTTTTAATCATTCCTAATTTCAGACCAAAGTACGGAAATACTTACTCGATACTTGAATGGTCTGTCCTCACTTGTTGTGCGGCCTCAGCATAATCTCCATTTTTCGAAGATTTGTTGGTTAATCCATTATGGTTCCCTGGAGTCCCGAAGTCAACCTGGCCAAAGTCTGCTTCTGGTTTTCACCACCACGGGCAGTTGCAGCTCTTGTGGATCAGAGGGAGATTTTTCACCATGCGACTAGTTTGATACCAGGACAGTGGTAGATCCTGGTATTGGTTTACTCTTGGCTAGGTTTCTTGATGGAAACGCCGGACTCCTTCTCAGCTTGGGAGACACTGCCAGCGGGACCAATCTCCCCGCTGAACATCGCAGTCGGACACCCAGGAACACCTCCCAGCCACGATGAGGCGGCGAACCGTTGAGAGGAAAGTACGGAAATAGTCCTTACAAATACCTATATCATCTATCTTAACTGAATTCAATTCGATCCAACATTTATAGTCAAGAGGCAATCAATGCCATATCTAATCGATAAATCTGGTAATCGATTGATGGACTGGCCCCGATTAGCCGTGCATTCTTTACGTTCAAAATACACCGGTTATTTAACGACGTGCTGTTGTGAGCGTAAACTGGATTGTCGTAGACGTCATAAATGAATTAGTTCCGCTAACGAAAATCTGCGTTGCGATTTCTTCTCAAGGATAGCCCTCCGAATTCAGAGACTGAATTGAAATTTTAGAAAATGAGTGTTTAAGAAAAAGATTTGAATGCTGAGTGTTCCAGGTATCCGGCGCCGTTCTTTTGGATTCCCGTTTTTTTGACTGTGTTCAGCGCTATTGGACTGCTTCTGTTCAAAGAAGAGAATCGAATATGGTATCTCTACAGGTGATCAAACTCATAGTTATTACTTAATAGGAACGTAAAAAACGGTGGAACAGTCATGAATGACGCGTTTTTGCTTTAACACTGCTTAAATTCTACTGAATCACAGAATTCTGTTGTGATCACAGAGTCTTTTAAGTCCATCTGGTGCAGCTTCCCATTACGAACATTCCGTTGCCAACGAATTCTTCAACGATCGAGGCGGGAAGTTTTGGTTGGAGGTAAGATTTTTTCAGATTAATTATCTCATAGAAGAAGCTTGGAGTTCCAAAGTGATGACGTTGATTAGATTGACGATTGTTATTTTAAGAACTTCCTTGGTTACCCAGAACTTTACTTACTTTCCAGTTAATTTTCGTGTAACAATATTTTCTAACATTGTTTCAGACTCCATAAATTTTTAACCCTCCAGTGAGCTTTTCATTAAAAAGCTATTCACTGACCGTTATTTTTATTAGTGAACATAACCTGTGTTTTACATCTATTGCATAGATCCCCGCCCTTCTCGCATTCTATTCGTTTCCGCGCATCCATCATCTACAACGGCCTTTCCGGTTTTAGCGTGTGTGTTCGGTTGTTTTTTGAGGATTTTCGTTTCGTAACAAATGTCGTTGAATGCTGGTCGAGTTGATTTTTCCCGGATTCCTGAGATAACCGAGCTAGAGCGTTCCCATTTAAATAACAGCGACTGGACTCTCCCAGACAAATCTGGTAGCAATTTTTCTACTCGCATAGAAGACAGGATTGGTGAACTCGGGACGGGATCTAACAGGAACGTGCACGTGATGATCAGGATCATCAGGATCAGTTTTACTGCTCGACCACTCCTTCCACTGATTATTTATCCATGAACAACATAAGGCTAGCAAAACAAGTAGCTCACTTGCTATTTTACTACCTAGGCACATTCGTTGTGGTCCTCTAACTATAGATATTCACCTAAATACTTAGACGATCGGCACTATCGTGTGTAATGATCCAGCACTTCCTTAAATGGCTTCGTTGTCTTGCAATAGTCTTCCATAAAAATGGTCAGTCTTCGGGTTCAGTCTCAAGTTGATGTGGTCTTCCATACTCATCGAAATGTTGAATGGCTAAATGATCGAAGGAAAAAAATTGTAATAGGCAATAAGTAAAAAGGTTAACATTGTGATTTCGATTACAGCCTCAGTTTAACTGTGTTCATTACTGATTTCGGCTCCCCAGATCAATCCCTTTAACGTGTGATTGCTGATAGCAAAAGATCGATAGAACTAGCTGAGAGACAGGCGAAACAAAGGATCTGCATGGTGTGGTGGTGAACGCGTTACTCCCCGGAAAGGAAAATAGCAGGTTCGTTCCCCATCGCAAGCACCTGCGGTCCGGAGTTTTGCAAATGTCTCAGCATCATTGTGGATATTGAATGGCTGTTGTTTAGAGTGTTTTCCGGTGTAATCCCAAGATAGCAGTCCTGTACCACTTCAAATCTTTATTGTCAATAGTCGTTGGCCCATTGGATCAGAAGGAATTTTCAACTGCGATTCTTCTAAAACAACTGTTCCAACGATTAGTCGATCGACTAGAATGATGTAAAAAGTCGAACTCCGAGCTATGAGACACATCTGATTAGCTCATTGTCAACTATACTCCTAGTATAAACGAAGAACTTATCATCGTTTTGCTCTGTATGCTGATTGATAATGTATCTCTTGCGCTGGATCGGCATCTACGACGTAACTCTTTCACGGAACCCGCTTCTTAGACGCTGCTATACCACGAAGAGTTCGGGGAAATGCACCCTGCGTTTATTGTGCTTCATTATCGTTAAGAATCTTCATTAGGAAGATTTATATTGCCCAGAAACATTGGTACTTCCTCATTATATTTTCGAGAATGAAATTGTCAATGAGATATCTATGAAAAAAATTCCAGAATGTCCTGGTGCTTTTTTGTATTTTAAGAAATTCTCGTTGTCTTCAACTTAATCTGCATCGATTTGCCTATAGTGAAATTGACCGTACGTCAGAAAAATTTTAGTGAGTTCAAGTAGGGCAGCGGTCGAGGATGCCGTCTAGTACAACCAACCTCATTAGCTCAACTCCGACCCGCGCCAACTGAACCTTCTATACTTCTAAGATCGGGAAATTGTTACCATACTCTGCTGCGAAAAGCATACAGGAAAGAATCCGTAAAGGCCGTCGACTTCCTGTGATGAGATATGGGTTTCGTAAGACCGGCATGAGTGGCAAATATGAGATAGAAAACCAAACGTACCGGGAGCATTCTATGTCTGATTCAAAAGTTCCATGAAGAGACTATGTGTGTAAATTGTTTTTTTACATAGATTTTTGTTGAATCGAAAACTTAGTGCTCGATTATGAATTTTGTCTAGATCGCTATCACCACACGCGATATGGGCAATCTGCTAAGAGAGAACTATTTCGATGAAGTCGAGGCATTAGCCAGTTATCTACAGGTCAATAAGTCATTATTGTCACTACTGCTTACTGGTTTTTAGTGTTTCTTCTTGTGTTTCAGTACAATTTCACCACTGACTGTCTTATTGGTGATGGAGAAACGAAGTGCGCTTTTGCTGAACTTTGTTCTGGTAGCAGTTGTTCAGAAAATCAGGTGAGGGACTCTTCTAATTCCAAAAAAATCAATTCTTATGCTTTCAACATTTTCTTCTTTTCAAGCGGTTAAAAGCAATTTTTTTCCATCAAACATTACAATATTTGACCATCTGTGTTATTTGCAATCCCATCACTTATAAATGACATAACGGGACTAATATGGTGTAGTGGTTCTAGCAGTGTCCTGCAATGCACATGTGGTCATTGGGCTCAATACATCGCTTTGAGATAAATAGCCCCAATCACCTTGGGGTCAGCAAATTGGTGGCAAACATGTTTGAAGGATAAAAACACTGCAGTGAAACATGTATAGGTTCTCGCGAATCAGTGCATATGCCAAATACGCATGCAGTCGCCTTTACGACTCCGTGAATGGAGTTTAATGAACTGCGGATCCCTAAAGGCTTGATCAACCCCAAACGTTTTTTAGCACAAACGGGTCCCGCAAAATTTTTAATTTGGAGGTCGAGTGTTGTCAGTTGACACGGCAACAGATCAGGCTTTTTATATGAGACTCTTTATTTATTCATTTGTTTATTGTCCTTGTGGAAAGTTAGCAACCGGTGGCTCTACAACCTTAGCCATGGCGTAGACTTAGAGTTTCCAGACAGAAAGCAAAACTTGTCAGGTTGGTTGACTTACTTGATAGGTCAACCCTCCATTTGTGACGTGGAGGTTGACCACTCCGTAGGGCATTCTTCGATAAGACTAGTTGGTTTTTTTTTCCATTTTAGTATTTGGAACAATATTTGGCTAAATTTAAGAATTCATTAATGGATGCTGTGGTTTTTGTTGGGATTATGTACTACTAGATTATTTGCAGTTCACCACCTTATCACCGTTATTCATAGCTTTGGATTTGAACGTAGCGTTGTAACCGTTAAAAAACTTTTTATTTTATTGCTATTATTAAAATTACTGTTATTACGTATGGGCGCGTATGGTGCAGTGGTCGGAGGCGCCCTGCTGCACAAACACACAGAGGATCGATCTCTGCGCCTTGGCTCACCAAGCCTTCCATCCCTCCGGAGTCGGCAAAATGGTAGCAGACATATTTAGGAAAATAGCAGTACTGGCTCGATACATCGGTAGGCCACTGTGAGTCATTGTAAAGAGCAGATTTGCTTTCTATCACCTCCAAACGGTGCTTAATGAAGTCGAGTGCATGGCGCACCCTCAGGGATTGATCAACGCCTAGGGCTTCATCCTTGATTTTTTTTTATTGTTATTGCATTACTATTTCACTATTTCTTCAGTATTATTGTGTTCTTCTGACTCTGAATGTGGGATTGCGGCTACTTTTCAATTGTGCCTTGATATTTCAACAATTCTATGGATCCGGCAGCAAATCCGTTTTTCTTTGACGATTACATTTACACGGTCAAGTTTATTTTCGTCTCATCATATTTCTTGTTTTGCTGATGATGTCGATTTCTAAGTGTGAGGACATTGAGACTACGTCGTCTTTGTTGTTGAATGACTGCAGCTGTTGGTTACGATCTACGACGATGAATTCATTTCATCCATAGGGTCTTAGAAGCTGAGATTCAGTTATCATCTGGCCAAGATCTCTGTTAGGATTCATCTCAATCCTGAATGAAATCGAGAAACACACCTCCTTCTGTTCCACGTGAATCGACGACTGAAAATGGTGGCGACATGTGAGCAACACTTCGAAGCCAGTTTCTCGATGCTCCATGGAAAAATCTCACCAAAGCAGTAGTAAACCGCTTAAGTGAGAACTCACTAAGGCAGTCATTATAGTCGGGCCACGTTAAGGTTTCTTTAACATTTGTTATTTTTGCAAGTTTAGGTGATACCATTGTTCAATCTGATCTATCGTAACGCGTCATCACGCCTTCATCCGAACTTCCGCCTGACCTATCCGACTATGCACCTCTATAACGACGAGTACTACGTTGCTGAACACTTTGCTGGTGTTGAAATCGATAAAAATACGAATGTGTGAGGATCCCCCCACTTTTTCTTCCTCTTTTCCTTTCCTGTTTTCTGTCAATTTGCATTATACTTTTGAAAAATAACTTAGCTTTATGCAGTGGTTAAGAATTTTGAGAGGGGCGGATAGCACAGTGATAGTGATGTCCGTCATTACGAACATGGTGCCAGTTCGATTCCGCTCCAGACCAACCAAGCCTCTCATCTCCTTGGGATCGTGAAATTGGTATCGGACTTGTCTGGGAGAAATCGGCTTTTTGCAATCCAATTGGTAACGCTCCAGCCTGGCGATCTCAGGACTCCAGAGAGAAGTGATAGACCTGCATTCTACACCATTCAAGATGAAATGGAAATTCAAGATGTGAGAAGTGCTGGGATCCGCGCAGCAGACGAGAAGACGGATCAAATAGAATAAAATGAATAAATAAAAAAAATGAGTGTTTTGATAAGGTGCGTCAACCTGTTATAATTATAATATATACGTAGTAAAATATACAGAGGTTTTCAGAATATCATCGGTGAAAGTGGTTGTGTTGTATTTTCGAACTGATCGGCAAAACGAGGAGAACGCGAAAAATTTACAAAGGTTTGTCGGATTTCTTTTCCTGATTTAAAAAGAACTGTCATGTGTTTTGTGATTTTTTTTACATCTTCGCAATTGTGCAGTATTTTTGTTTCTGTCGCTTTCTTTGCTTTTTTCTTAGTTTTTGCATTTATCAATTATTTGAAGCTTTTATTGACTAATCAATCGTTGTTAATCATTATTGATCGATTTCTTTTCTCGGTCATAATTTCACCACTCTATTAGTAGATTTTTCGTTTCATTTACTTTTTCTCTTCGTTTTCTTTTTCGATCTTCCAACTTTCAAACGTTTACCTGCTCCAGTGTTTTTTTCTCTCTTCTCCTTTCCCTTCCAATCGCCCTATATACATCTTTAAGGTTTTCTATAGCCTTGTTTATAGCTTGGTTCAATCAGTTTCTGTAAGTTCATTCCACCTTCATTCGTGTTTAACATTCTGCTTTTGCTGGTTAATTTTCTCACATATTTCCTTTATGGATTTTCCTTATCCTCCTTCCAGCCATAATTTATCTTTAGTCATCTCTGTTGAAAATTTCTATTTTACTTTTTGCTCTAGAAGTTTTACAGATGGGAAAGCAGCATTTTCGACTATGTCGAACAATTCCAACATCCAGTGCTTAACATCACTTGCAATAGTGATGCTTTGATTGCCAGAGAGGTACGGGTAACTCGTTCCTGACTAGCCCATTAGAACAATCTTTCCCTATCCTACTGCCGTAACCTAAGAAATGATGATGCTTCTGCACACAGCGTAAACATAAGCAACACTACTCATATTTGGACTTTAACGTATTACTGTCGACTGAAACATTTTCATCTGGTCTGTCGACACAGGCTAAGCAAAAGCGAGCTTTTTTTATGTACCATGAATCCGTTAGCCTTGCCTTTGAGGGAGAGCTTTTCCATGCGATCATTATACAAGACACGAAATGAACCGTACTCTTTCCACCCACTCTCATTTTTACAGTTTTTCGTAGGTGAATATGTTCAGCCAAGTTTTGCGGTAGAAAGTATTATTGGGCTTTAGCTCGCAAGTATGAAAACTAAAAATAAGGATGGAGCAACGGAGACATTAGTAGGCCATCTCCACCGCAAGATAAAAAGAATGGCTGTATTTGAGTGTCCAACTTACTATCCATCTACTGGATGGGTTCTAGGTACTTTCTCGACTATCGGGCTCTATTATTCACATGACAGCGTGATCTGTGAAGTGTAGATGGAAATTCCAGGGCATAAATATTATGGGATAAAGGATAGAGCGTTCGGTTAGACGCTTAGCGAAGTGCCATAAATTCGATCTCATTAGTAGCATTGTGGAGGCGACTGAATACATAATTCGACTTCAGCTACGTTTGGAAGCCTATAGATCTGTCAAGTCAAAATTTCTTTTATTTTCGCAGACAACTCTGCTCTGCTACCAATTTGCTGACTCCGGAGGGACGGGGTTTAGTTATTTCGAGGTGTCGCATCGAAGCAACGACTGTATATATTGCAGGACACCTCTATTTCTTGCGCTATATGCGCTCTTACAATAAACGTTACATATTTAAATACCCATAATTGCTCGTTACCAATGAATGTGCATGAAGTAAATAGCGCAAAATCCGTGTGAAATATCTCAACTTTACTTCAGCAAAAAGCTACTGAACACCGAAAAAAATACGCTAGCACTTCAGGTTCGCAAGAACGGTCTTGCATGCTTACCGTATTTCGGTATTTCGGTAACGCTCGTGTACTGCTTCATACTGATTACGAATCGTCGTGAACATTTTCGATTTGGTCACTCAGTCTGCATGGGATTTCTCGGGATCGCTGGGCCACTGATGGCAGTTGGAACGACGTAAGTATCGTCTTACGTTTTCTGCACTTCATATACTAGCTGCATCGATGATAAAGTAAAAGAACTGGCATTTTCTCACTAAGCGATCAGTAAATAATTTGCTTATTTTTTGTTGAACTTACAAAGGTTGCACTTGGGCAATATGGAAGCGATACTGTGTGATAGAACAATCAGTCGCCGTTGTCGTAGCCGCCTAACCCTTGAGTCCTGTCATCATATCAAAACGAACTCAACGTTTTCTGAAATTTCTCTAGAATTCTCCTCGTTTCTCCTAATAGTTTGTTTCCGTAAAAGTTAATTCAAACGTTTGTTAGTTGAGTTACCGTTGTGAAGACGAGTTAGACCGTTAACACAGAAAGCCACAGCTAAGCTGCACATCGGAAGCAAACTGCTTTCCCCAAACTTTCTAGAGAGCTAAAAACGTTTTTTAAAAACTTTCAAAAAGAAGATTTCACAATTTATTTGCCACGACCGACTTTCTATTAACCTCGGCATTGATCAAGTAATTTTCTTCGTATTTTTGTTGAGCAAACGCGAGGTGTTATTATTCTTAAGCTGACGTTTCGGCGGATTTCGCCTTTCTCAGAGCCTGGAAAGCTCAAGTTGATAGCAACCCACTCGGCCAGACGCCTCCATAACCAAACAAAGAAACTCCAAACCAAGATTTCAATCACTTTGAACACAGCTTTGCACACTCACCGCTTCCTATAAGGTTTCCACTAAGTATGTCGCGTAGAGACCAACCGCACAGAAATCACATGGAAGTATAATGTGCCCCTCATATCAGAAAAGCAGTTTTATATACTGCCCTATATCACGCGTGATAATGAGGCATTCTTCTTTGCGGTTCAATTCAATTTTTTCTTACAATCTATTTGAAAACACACCACAAAAATCTCTCCCTAAGAAAAGAGACAAGCTAAGAGACGTATTTTAGCTTCTGTCTGCTGTTTTTGTTTGGAATTCCATTCAACTCGATCACTTTGGTGATGCCGTTTCTGATCATTGGAGTCGGTTCTGATGATGTCTTCATTATTATTCATGCTATGCGAAAGACCAATAAGAAAATGTCACTTGAAGACCAAATAGGTAAGTGGTTTTATCACCACTAAAAAGACACGTGGTAAATTTTTATTAAAAGTGGCAAAATAGAAAAAAACGACAATTTTACCGTAATAAGCTAAATATGAACGAAAATTGTACAAAAGTGTGCGATGCCATCAGTCATTAAAAAATTTGGTCTCCGACAGCCATTATTGCTGAAGCATCAAAATTCTTTTCTCCGACGTATTTCCACTTATTTAGTTATAGGATGGCATTTTTGAACTAACTGGTTGGATATCGTTCTGTCGATTCGTTTCACTCAATCTAGGTTCCATATATTTACCTGAATTTATTACTTTATCCACAGAAGGGGCGCGTGTGACGCAGTAGATGGAGGCACCACTGCGACACTCACATGGAATCGACCTCCGCTCCCATGGCCCACCAAGCCTTCCATTACTTCGGGTCGGCAAATTGGTACCAGACTTCTCTGGAAGGACTGCAGCACTGGCTCAGTATATCGGTAGGCTACCGCGAGTCCAGATAAAGGCCAGATATGCATTCTGCTACCTCTAACGATACTTAATGAAGTCGAATGCATACCGCATCCCTCAGGGATTGATCAACGCTGAGAGGTTTTTCTTTTATTTTATCCTTAACCCGAAAATACTATCATGTTCTACTAAAGCTTTTGTTAAAAAAATTAGTTATCTACCTACTTCGATGGACCGTCTTCAATGTTGGTGCAGGTCCCAGCACAATTAGCACTCGTTTTTCACTTGCACAATTGTCGCCTGTTGTGGTGGTCTGCTTCAAACCTGGTGACATCCGCTAGACCTATTCCGTAATCCTGAAACCGTTGCGATCTCCAAGTACGGTTGGTTGATGTTAGCCATGAACATGTTGGTCTATCGTTTTAGATGGTCTTCTAAGAGAACAATTGCATTATCTTTGAGTTCACTCCGCTCTTTTCTTCGTTCATCTTTCATCTGTTCTTATTAAGTGGCCAGCTTATCTGTGTTACGCTATCGACGTGTATTCTCCTTCATCCCGTAGATGTGATAGGTTTCGAAGATCTGAGCTTTGCATTCCAACTAGACGTTGTGAGAGTCGGTCAAAATGAACAAGACATCGTTCAAGAGCACTCTGGGTGGTGCGCAGATTTTCTAACGTAGTTGAAGTATCAGCTCACGTTTCTGCTCCATGGCGTAGCGCTGGGAAAACTGTTGCATAGAAAATGTGAATGCGGAGTTTGTTAGTTGGTAGGTGGCTCCCTTGAGTTGCTTACAGTCTATGCTACTCTTTTTCTTTCTCACTCTAGCTCCTCCTTTGTTGTTCTTCGTATATATTGAACGCCCTACACATATGAGGTTCTTTTTGTAATCAGAGAACCATCCATTTCGACTTCTTCACCTTCACTCCCATAGGATCTTCATGAACAGGTTCTTCATCATGTTCATGCGTCGTCCAATCTTTTTTCTCGTTTCGTAGAATTCTTTGAGCATTGCCTCCGCTCCACTGATACTCTTCGAAATTATGACGATGTTATCTGCGAAACGAAGGTTAGATAAGAACTTTCCATCAATACGAATACTGTTTTGGTCTCAGTCGAGCGACTTCATCCACTGCAATGCGCTAGTAAATAGCATTGGTGATATTGCGTTGCCTTGTCGATATGTCGAACTACTTCCCTAGTGGGTGGCTACTAAAAGGGTTGTGGGGAAAGCTGTATTTGTCTGCTATGGTTTCGATAACGTCAGACGGAGTTCGCATGTAGGACCGCTCCACTTCTTGGTCAACGAACGCTGATAGAATTTCATTTGTTTCTACGCTTTCAAACGCTTTTTCGTAGTCCATAGAGGCCGAAACCAGGAGTGGGAAACTATACGTCTGGTGTAGAACTAAAATACCCACTAGCGAAGTTCGCGGAAGCCGCGGTGCAGTCACATTGCGCGGTCATTGATTGATTTGCATCGAGTTGTTAATCCATTACAGCTGAAACTATGGAGGAAGCTGGACCATCGATTACTGTGACGTCCGTGACGAACATACTGTCGTTTGGCATTGGTGTCCTAACGCCGACGCCTGCGATTTCGCTCTTCTGTCTCTATACATGCGTCGGTCTCGCTGTCGATTTTGTCTACCAGGTCAGTTCTCTTCATGCTGACTTCCTTCAAGTCTGAAGCTTTATTTGCTTTATACTTCACAGTCCTTTGAAAGCACTGGCCTACTATATTTACGTAATCATGCATACAGTGTGAAATGATTCGTTTTCAACCAAATCTCACAAAAAAGATCTTCGTAGGAAATGGACCGGTTTCGTATGCCTTACTCATGTTCAACGAAAAGAATTTCTCCAAATGCTCCAGTTACGTCTGTCTAGGTGTGGAAATCAACATGATGAACTGGTTAACTCTAGAGTTGCGTGGGATGAAGCGAGCGGGTTGGGGTACTTTCAAGAGCATCGAGGAAGTAGTGAAGAGCACAAAGAACACCCGACTTTGTGCCCACTTTTTCAACTGTACGGTTCTCCGCGACTTAACGTACACGTCAGAAACTTGGCCGCAGCGTAAGCAGGTTGAAAGATCATTTGCATTGTTGAGTGCGCGCTCGAAAGGACGATGCTAGCAGTATCTCGTATCACATTAATGAGGGAAAGTATTTGAAGCTCCTATTTACGTCAACGATCAAAGACTAAAGACGCCGTTCTATACGCCAAACTTTCGATGATAAGGCGCTCCAGACACGTAATGCGCACGAACGACAACTGGTGAACCAGAGCCGTAAGCGGCTGGATTCCTCGGGATTCCAAACATACAGCAGCAAGACCACCGACCCGATGGTCAGATTTGTTCACGACCGAGCGAAACCTACTGGTACAACAAGTAATACAGATGATGCTCAAAACGTGAGATGCGGGGAAGCTAAAAACAATGAATGTTGCCTTTTTTAAATATTTTCTTGTTGCAGCTTCAAATTTTACTTGTCAGCTATGGGCACGACTAGTTGCTTCATCATTCGTTTACTAAACTGTAAAAAAAAACAGGCAGGCTAACTTTCGAATTAGTTTAAATCTCCTGATTCTTCGTTGCTCGGCAGTTCAAAGAATTCACCGACCTCGATTTGATCTCGACTTTTCGAAGCAATGAGTTCCACCCGTACATAAGCGGCATTATTGCTTATTCTTTCTAAGTATATAATTTACCGACTTAACGTCAGTAGTTTTAAGTGTAACTTTTCTCTTAAACTCTCCTATGGTTCAGTTTATCATGTCATTTTTTTGTCGAATGAAAATTCAAACTCCCGGTTATTTTCGTCGCTCTCCACCTTTGTGATTTCATCTTTGTGCACTATCGCTCCTGCGTCTTTGCGTCTCCCTGTCTCTCTGTTTCACCCATCTCTCTATATCTCGTTGTCCTTTTATCTCTCCGTCTCTCCCACTATCTTCCTCTATCTTCCCGTCTTTGCTTGCCTCTTTGTGTAGATCATTGTTCTGATAAACATATTAATGACTTTTTCTCAACGAATCTTTGTACTTTTTCTGCTCTCTTTCCAATTTTCTCTAATTTTTTCAAACATTTCAGCTTACATTCTTCGTTGCTGCGTTAGTTTATGAGGAGATGAGAATTTCCAACACCGAAAAGCCTGCAATCGTGAACGTCGTCGTCAACCAGAAAGAAATGGTCAGCCTTAATCAGTTTGTGATAACTGCTGGAGTTAAGTCAATGCTGCTAATGAATACGTGAAATGCTGTCGGAAGGCTTAAATTATTTTGTGGTAACTTTGATACTACTTCAATCTACTATTAGAATTTCGCACCCTAACAATTGTTTTTCCTCCCAACGGTTTACCGCCTCATCGAGGTCGGGAAGTGCTACTGGGTGTCGGGCTGCGATGTACAGTGTGAGGATTCATCTTCCCGGCAGGGTCTCTCAAGCTGACAAGGAGTCCGGCGTTTTTATCAGAAAGCCTAGCTGAGTGTAAACCATAACCAGGATCCACCGGCGTCCTGGTATGAAAGTCGCATAGTGGCAAATCTCCCTCTGGTCCACAAGGGCTGCGATTGCCTGTGGTGCTGAAGACCTGAGACAGACTCTGGCCAGGCTGACCTCGAGATTCTAGGGAGCACCACAATGGATTAACCAGCAAATCTCCGAAAAATGGTGATTATGCTGGGGCCCGTACAGCCAGTGAGGATAGGCCGTTCAAGTATTAAGTAAGTAAGTAATAATTGTTTTTAAGTCCAAATTTCGTTTTATCGGTAGTCTTGTGCGCTAAATAATACTCATTTTTTGCAAACTTTATATTTTTCCTGCAATTTTTATACCTATTACATAAAGGTGTCGGCGAAGCTGTCGGTGCGATCAGTTCATCCAGCCGATCCAAACGGTATCGTCTCAAAATACTGTAAGTTATTGGAATCTGTGACGGTGAGTAAAAAAGTAATAACATTACTTAATGACCTCTTTTTCAGCAAAGTTTCAGCAAGAGATTGAGTATCTTTGAAAAATGTTAAGCAATACAACAAAAATGCATCAATGAGATTCTTATCATTCATGTATGGGCCAGCTCGATATATAGTGAACTTTTGACGCATTCTGATTGACCACACGAAGGTTTTGTTGGTTCTCCAATTAAACCTCATCCTTGGACAATTAAACCTTTATATACAGCCAGTATTAATGAAACGAGAGCAATAGGGAGAGCTTAATTATATAAAGAAGAAGCAGTAACATTGAAACTATCAGAAAATTTTGAAACCATTCGTCATTTAACCTCAGTACTGTAATAATCAACATGTGTTTATATTGTTGTGCTTACTCGAAGCTGGTACGGACTTCGACGTCTTCGTGTTCATCAGAGCCGACGATCTTTGTCGATGGTCCACAGTTGTTCCTGTTCTCGATGTGGCGTCTTCGTCTTGCGTCGAAGAAAAAATTCAGAATATCAGAAAATTAAATGGATCGATGAAGTAGTGTGGGAAACGAGAGCGATGTGGAATGAAAATATTGACGTTCACATATGACCTAATGCAAGTGTAGCCATATTTGGAAGGAATGTGTTCATAAATCAATAACAGAGCAAGCATTCTGTTTGTGGATAGGTGGATCTAATAAGAGCTTGGAAGTTCTATTTCGATGTAGATCACAGAGGCAAGCAAATCGCACTATCAAAGAAGAAGATCGTATAGGAATGTTACACAGAACCATTGCCGTTAATTTAATATGGATGGAGCATTTGCATCTTCGAGTAATTATGAGATAGGATATTGTGAAGTCTACATATATGGTATCGAGGTGAACCTAAGGTCGGAGCTGCAAGCGAAATTACTTTGCAACACATTAGATTCATTAAACAATGTACGAATAGTGTAAAAGTGTATATTGGCATAATGACATACGGGGTGGAGTATAGTATCCATAGATCGTTCGATTAAAGCAATGATATATCTACTAGGGATTGGCTCAAGGGTTAACATACTAGTCTGAGGGAAGATGTGGTAACTTTTATGTCGAGTTCCTTTTTTCTCTCTACAGTGGTTTCTTTTTCTTTCTTTTACAACTCACTACAGTGATCATCTCCAACTTCTCAAAACCTTAGTGCACTTGTAAACAGAACCGCAGAAATGGTTGCACTTTTTATCCTTAGTCCTTTATTGTTTAAAATCACCTGCATTTCTCTTGGTACGTATTTATCCTCTATTCAGTACTTTTTTATTTTTACTTTTATTTGACTTTTCTTCACCTCAGCTCTATGAATCTTAGCTCTTTTCACATTCAGTCCGTTTCCGCATCCATTGTCCACGAAGATCTTCCAACCATACGTGTGGCTTCGGTTACTGCTTGAGAATTTTCATTGTCTTGAACGCAGCAGAGCACTGGTTGAGTAGTTCTTCCTGGAGTCCTGAGATAGCTGGGCTCGAGCGTTCCCAACTAAATTCCTGAGAGTGGTGTTTTCCCAGAAAAGTCCGATACCAATTTACCGAACCCGGAGGGAAGAGAGATTTGGTTAACCCGGAGTGGAATCGAACTAGCACCCTGCTCGCGATGACGTACATCACTACAACCATGCCATCCGCTTCTTATTTAATATTAATTTTGTTAATAATGCAAAATCGGTTTTATGATTTATACTTTATTCGAATTTATGGTAATGAGAGAAAATTACTTCAGATTCGTTTGGCACTATTGGTTGTGTTGGTGATCTATTGGGCAACATCGATTTACGGATGTCTAAAAATGGAAATTCGTATGGACAGTACAAAATTGGTGATGAAGGAAAGTTCTCTACACAACGTCGTCTATGTTTATGAGAATTTTTTGTGGAAGGAAGGACAACTCGTACGTTCTGTTCTTTTTGAATTATAGAGTGGGCTTGCCGCTCTCAGTATTCCTTGGTAAATCTCTGGATTACGGCTGGCCATTCCCATCTTCCACTCTTTTAAAAAATCTTGCAGCTGGCTATTCTAGCTTTTTATTGAAGGATAATGCTCACGGTGTTGATCAATCCTTGTGGGGTGCGCCATGCATGCGACATGCATCGTTGGAGGTGATTGAATGCATACCACTCCTTTACAATGATTCGCGGTTGCCTACCGATATATCGAGCCAGTGCTGCTATCCTTCCAGACAAGTCTGGTACCAATTCCGTAAGCCCGGAGAGATGGAAGGCTTGATGAGCGACGGGCGCTGGAATCGATCCCATGTGTGTTGCCACACGCTCCCTAAACGGCTTTTCGTTATTTTTTTCAAATGTTCATTTTTTCACTCACTCTTACACTAGCGTTAGTTAATAAATAAGCAAGTGATGTAGCAATATAGTGCTTATGCTTTCTTTGAGACCTTTTTTTTGAACGTCTTACTTCCTCTTGAAAACTAGGAAAAACTGTTTTCGGCTGCAAACTGAATTTTCACCGTGTTTCTCCTCGAACAAACTGACGTCGATCTACTTAGGTTTCCTCCGCTAATTTTAATTTTTTCCATCCTGGGTGCTTCGTTCTAAAGACGAACTTTTTGCTGAACGTATTAGGGTAACGAGTTCTATCACGCTTGTTAATATCTCGGTAACCCCCTGAGTATGGCAACATTAGTAGGCAGTAAAGGTTTTAGTAAACTGTCGAAAAATCAACGATGAGAGTGCGATCGAATTAAACATATCCAGTGAGCGCATCTATTAGTCTTTCTATTCAGGTGATGGTGTTTGTAAACTCTCCACCCGATCTCTCGTTAGAGGTTAACCAACGTCGAATGCTGGGATTGGTCAGTGAGTTCGAAAGCCTACCATATTCGATGGGTAGGAACTCAACATCGTTCTGGCTTCGATCGTTTCTCTACCAGTCCACTCTCTATCACACAAAAGAAGGATTCTATTCGCTTTTGGATAGATGGCTTAAGGTTTGAATTTATTTCGTCGATTTTCGTCGAATTTTGAGGAATATTTTTTGTGATATATCTACTTCTTATGTTTCTAGGTTCTTGCTTTATAGTGAAATAGTTGCTTTGCTCTTTATTTAAACAAGGAAGCAAGACCTATGACCAACTAGATTCTGCGACTGATAAATAAAAGCATGAAGAGGTCGGCGTTGATCGATGCCTGGGGGATGCACTGTGCATTCGACTTCGTTAAGCATAGTTAGAGATGAATGAACGCATATCTGGCGTTTACAATGACTCACAATGGTTTATCGTTGCATCCAACCACTCTGATATCTTTCCAAACTAGTGTGGTACCAATTTCCCAATCCTGGAGGGGAGGCCTATGTGTTTTGTAGGACATCTCTAACGTATGCGCTACACGAGCTCGCTTTGTATTTGACAGTATCATACGATGTTTAAGTTATTTATGAGTATTTTAAATATCTAGTGCAGAGGGTTACGACAGAGATATGAAGTTTGTGTGGTGGGAATAACCATGTACCAACTTCAGCTCAAAAAATGCTGTCCAACTTAGGTAAAATTTTTCTACAGGGTGTTCCATGTCAGCGAGATTTTGGAATAGACGGGAAGCTGTCTGAAACTCTTTGCATATAGAAATTGTAGGAATTTTGGGTCACATTTAGGATTCCGAGAATAGTGGATGGAGATGGAATGATATGATACGACTGAAGCGAGACGTTAACGGAATGGTTGTTGGAGTGGATAAGTAATCTTTTCAACTTATCGTCTTGTACATTTCTATTGCTTAAATATTAGAATTGCAAGATGCTTAGAGTCGACATATTTCTCAGCGATTCCCCATATGCTCCATCCAAAAGGTCGAGGTGGCTGAATTCATATTTCACACGAGCACTGACTTGCAATGGCCTAACGATGTAACAAGTCTTCTATCCTTCCAGATAAGTCCGGTGCCACTTTACAGACCCCCGGAGGGAATGACCGCTTGGTGATCGTAAAGCGTGAGATAGAACCAACTACCACCTGTGTATTGCAGACTATCTCTAACCATTGCGCCTGCACAACCATTAAAAAGCAAAATGAGTTAATCTTGCAGATTTATGTTCGCGACGGCGTCAGCTATGGGTGAAGCTGCCAGCTGGAGTACACGTGCTACCCTTCAACACACATGGAGAGCTGTCGCTAAACGTAATGAACAGTACAACGTTACCATTTTTCAGGTAATACTAGAAAAAATTCTTCAGTAGGTGATAAACAAGCATAAGTGATATGATGTAAAAGAAGTAGTTAGTCGGAAATTAGAATTAGAAAGCAGTCGTGAAGATCATATAGTTCAAATCAAATTTATAGCAAATATTGTACGGACCAATAGAAGAAATTTGTTGGTAACCTACAGTAATACGTTTAATCTATGATAGGCATTTTATAGATATATTCTTTTTACGTGGATCAGCTGGATTCGATTGGTTCCAACACCGTGTCAACCGTGGTGGTTGCTTCAGTTACAATGGCACTGGCATGTTTTTTAATGATTCCGAACGCTAGTTCGATCTTATCAAGGTGCGATTCTTTTTTGCTTCATTTGTAGCAGTATTCTTTTTTGTCAACGGTTTACCGCCTGAATATGTCTGGAAGGCGTTGCTAAATAACAAGATGCGATGTGACTCCAGAATTCATTCTCTTTGTTACTCAAACTGACAAAAACTTCGACGTTTCCATATAGAAGGCCAGCTAACAGTGAATGTATATCAAGGTAGTGCTGGAAGGCTGTCCACGGTTTTCTTATTGCTGGAAGATTGTCTTAAATATTTGTAACTCCCACGACCGATAGGGCAGTATGTAAGACTGCTATTCTGATGGGAGGGGCACATTATACTTCCATGTGATTTTTGTGCGGTTGGTCTCTACGTGACATACTTAGTGGAAACCTTATAGGAAGCGGTGAGTGTGCAAAGCTGTGTTCAAAGTGATTGAAATCTCGGTTTGGAGTTTCTTTGTTTGGTTATGGAGGCGTCTGGTCGAGTAGATTGCTGTCAACTTGACCTTTCCAGGCTCTGAGGAAGGCGAAATCCGCCGAAACGTCAGCTTATTCGCGAATAGAGAACAATAACACCTCGCGTTTGCTCAACAAAAATACGAAGAATTACTTAAATATTTGTTTTACAAGCCAGACACCACATATGCCAATCCCAGCACTACTTGCGTTTCCATCACGTCCTTCAGCCACAAATATCTTTGGCTTTTCATGAATGTACGGCAGCTGCAGGAGAATCCTTGGCTTTCCTTAAAAATTTCGTTGAATGGAAATCGAGTTGATTTTGTCTGGAATCCTAGGATCGCCGTTCTTGGCCGTTCCTAGGTCTTCAGCATAGGTAGTCACCAACCTTTGTGGTCTAGAGGGAGCTCTCCGTCCAAGAGGGATGGGAGATCAATTTGCGAAAGTAAGCTAAGATTATGTCCAATGTGTGATGTTCGTCGTTTTTAAGAAAGCAGAATCCAAGAAGCAGCTCTTGTGGTCGGTAGAAATCAATGGGCATTTTATCAGTGGTTTTTCCAATCACCTAATGATTTAGAGATACCTGCATCACCTGTAGTCCCGTTGATTGTCGAGTGACTCGAGCGGACGCCAGTAAATCTTCCATCTTTCCCTGTCGCGTGCAAGAGTAACCCAGTGGGTTCTGCTTGCTCTAGGGACTCGTCGAGCATCATATTTTCTTCTAGGCTCTTTGTGAAGAACTCTGACCATCGGGTCGGTGGTCTTCCTGCAGTACGTTTGACTTCCCGAGGAATCCAGTCACTAACGGCTCTTATCCATCAGTTGTCATTCATACGCATTACGTGTCCGGCCCACCTTATCCTCGACTATTTGGCCTACAGAACGGCATCTTTGATTTTTGATCATTGACGCAGATCGGAGTTTCGCATCCCATACCTTACTTCTGTGGAAAGGAATACTCCTAGCATCGTCCTTTCGACCGCGCGTTCAGCAGGATTGAGTGGTTTCTCATCCTGCTTAAGCAGCGACCAGGTTTCTGACGCATACGTTAGGGCAGCAAGTACCGTTGAGTCGAAAAGGTGGGTACGGAGTCGGGAGTCGGGTGTTCTTTGTTTTCTTCACTACATTCTCGATGCACTTGAAAGCTTCCCAAGCCGCTCCTTTCCTTCTGCTCCGCTCTGGAGCTAGGTCGTTCATCGTATTGATTTCCCGACCTAGATAGACATAACTGGAGCATTCGGAGATATTCGTTCCGTTGAGCGTGAATGGGGCATGAGAAACCAATCCGTTCTTCATGAACATCGTTTTGTGAGATTTAGTCGAAGACCAATCTTTCCACACGCATGATCAAAGTCGTCAAGCATATGTTTCGCATGGCTAATGTTTAGTGTTATAAGGATGACGTCATCAGCAAAGCGAAGATGGTGTAACTACCGACCGTCGATTTTCACTCCCATATTACCCCATTCCAATGTTCGCATGGCGTCTGAAGGGTGGCGGTAAATAATTTTGGCGATATGATATCGCCTTACCTAACTCCTCTTTTGGCGTCAATGTTAATGTCATTGTAGAATGGTGATACCTTGGTTGTAAAATTTTTGTAAAGCTCAAGGATCTTTATGCACTGAGTAGGGACTCCTTGACTATCAAGAGCTTCCAAAACTGCTTCTTATCTCGACTGAATCAAAGGCCTTCTGTAAATCGATGAGAGTGAGACAGAGCGGTCTTTTGTACTCTCGCGATACTTCAATGAACCGTGTTACCGTGTGGATGTGGTCCATCGCACCAAATTCTCTTGGAAACACTGCTTGCTCACATGGCTGTCCTTTGTCTAGTGTTCTGTCAATCCTGTTTAGGACAACTCGAGTGAAAAGTTTGCAGACGACAGACAGTAAGCGGATTGGGCGATAGTTGCCTATATCGTGCAGGTCACCCTTCTTGAACAAGACGGTCTTGCTGGTCTTCCACTCACTAGAGACCCTGCATTCAGACAGGTAACGTATGAAGTGCCGAACCAGTATGTTTGCGAGGACTGGCGGAAGGTTCTCCAGGTGTTCTGGTCTCATCCCGTCTGGACCTGGTGCTGCTCGACTTTTCACCGACGAAATGGCATTTCGGATTTCGGAAGGGAAAACCGGTAGTACAACATATCCATCCTCCTTTATTTCATATGATGGAAGGTGGACGTAGCTATCGAAGAGATCCGAGCAGCATTCGTGAATGATTTTCTCCATTGCCTTTCTGGACGCTGTAACTGTACCGTCTGTGCGCCGGAGAGCAACCATTTTGGTCTAGTAATTAGCGAAGCTTCGGTGGGCTTTGTGAATGCTTTTCTCAGTCTCTGGAGCTTCGGCCATTACTGCTGCTTTTCTGTCTCTAAGATCTTCTTTTATGGCCTCTCTGCACTGTTTTGCAAGTTCGGACGTTAGTTCGCGGTTGCCTACAGCTTGTGCTATTCCACGCTGGCGTATCAGCAAAGGGGAAAATGGAGGCAATGGAGAAAATTATTCACGAATACTACTCGGATCTCGGCGTTTTTGGAGACAGACGTCTCTTGGTAACTTGCCAACTCTGAGCATTTATAGTGCTAGCGTGAAGATGTTGAATGAGCCGATCGCATTCTCCGTCGATGTTATCGACAACGACATCTTTCCAACAGCCGACTGAATAATGAACTGAATAAGTCCCAGTTTACGGTAGTTCTGGGATTTCGGTTTTGGAATTTAGCGGGTTTTTCTCTTTTCCCGCAAGAAATAGAATCTTGCACGAAGCAGACGGTGGTCTGATCCCGTGTTGAATTTTGGGACAACTGTGACATCGGTTAGGCAAAACCTTCTATTTACTATGATGTGGTCTATTTCGTTATGGTACTCTCCATTGGGAGACTCCCACATGCAGCGTTGAGCGTGGAGCTTCTGGAATTGCGAGTTACCACGGATTGTCTTCGTCGTCGTGATAAACTCAGACAGCCGCTCATCTTGTTTGTTCCATTCTAATCCGTAGATCCCAATGTGACGTTCTTCAGACATACTTCTTGGTCCAATCTTGGCGTTGAAATTTCCAATGGTAACCTTGAAGAATGTGTGGTCTTCTCTGTAGAACTTCTCCAAGTCCATATAGAACGCTTCGTTTTCTTCTTCGTCATAATTTGATATCGGCGCATAAACGACGAAGATTGTCAAAGCCGATACTGATCCACGTCTTTTTAATCGTTAACGTCCGATTCGGGTTGTAAGTTGTTCGAATGAATCGATGTTCATGGACAAACTCGTGTTGACGAGAACGCCGACGCCGCCGACTCCTCTACTGTCGCATGTTCCGAGGAACAGTTCTTCTCCGGTGCCATAGACGGCGCTGAAAGGCTGGCGTCTTCTTATCTCGGCCAGGCCAATGACGTCGTAGCATATCCTTCTTGCTTGCATAAACAAGTCTTCTATCGAGGACTCGGCTGCAGGTGTACGTGCATTGTAGGTACAGATCGTCAGCATAGTTCTTCGTGATGCAGGCAACTTCCATTGATTTTGAGATTTTAGCAGCCTCTCCGTACTCGTCATATCCAACGCTGCGAAATTAGGGGCTCTTTCGAGGTCAGGGGCATGAGGCTTTTTTTTTTTTTTTACTGTGTTTAGCATTTTTGATACCCACCTATAGCTTGTTGGGCCCTGAAGGTAGGGGGGGGGGGGGCTGGGCATGCTCACGGGTAGCTTGCCAAGCTCTCCCAGAGTGGACATGGAGCTTATTTGTTGGAGACGACTCTTAACCTCCCATATACAAATTTTAGTAAGAAAATATGTTTCGGAATAAGCACAAGATGCTGAGATATTTGCAAAACTCCGGGCCGCAGGTGTCTGGGTGAGGAACGAACACACTATTACCCTTTCCGGGGTTAACGCGTTCACCACCACAATTAACGAATTCTTCGTTTCGCCTTTTTTCTGCTACTTTTCTATCCACCAGTGCCCCCAGCCGTCAGCGGGATTGATCCAATGAACCCACTTAAGCTGAGGTTGTACTCAGAATCATAACGTAAGCTTTTTATTTAATATCTATAACAATTCTTCACGGGAGATGTGTGGCACAACCACAATGGTGCTGAGATATTTCCAAAACTACAGACCGCAGGTGTTTGTGGTGGGGAACCAACTTTGCTAGACTGTCACAAGAATCATTATATCAGCTAGTTCAGTACTCTGAAAAATAATATTTAGTGTGATTTATCGGGACTGTGTTTAATTTTTTGATCAAGGTCTTAAAAAGTTCACATTCCTTTTGATTGCATTCCATCCACTATAATTTCACGTTAGAATACCTCTTACTCGATGGTATTCCTCTAGTAAGCCTGAGTGATCATGAGCAATAAGACATATAGGCAAAGCTCTATGTCCACATATTATGTGACTATTGATTTAGGCGTTCAATTACCGTTTTTTCAGAAGCAGTTATCGATTTCTTCCACGCGGAAGACGACATTGAACAGTATCGCTAATGGACGGAATCGAATCAACTTCGTTGTCGCCGTGAAAGGAGTTTGCGTACTCGAAAATGACCCTACCTACTTCTGACCGAAAACTTGGATCGGAAACAACTTCAGCTGCCTAATAATTTCGAAAAAATCCTTGCCATGATTTAATAATAACAATAATAATAATATTACTTGTAGCTGTGGAAATCTGGCATTTATAAAAATATCCTTCTTTGTTTTGTCGACTAACGTGTCGAACGACTCCGCAATGCAAGCCATCCGTGAGCTTCTTGAGAAACACGAAGGAGCAATTAACATGTATGGCTTTTCGATTCAGCAGCTTATGGTCCTCCTGAAGGTCTGTTTAAACTGCTCGATCTTCAGATGGTCCGGGAAATATTACGCGCAAATTAGAGGGTTGGCAATGGGACAGCGACTGGCACCAGCCCTT